GCCTCTCAGATTATAAGCAACTGGATATCAGCAAAATTAAACTGCTGTTCATGTATGTTGTGTATGTGAGTGGTGTACCAGCTTAAACTGCCTTCTTCGTTTTCAGAATCAGGATTGTTAGCTTATGATGGTCCTCCTGAAGGAAATAAGGGAGGTAAGGCAGAGGAGATGTTTCTCTTATCTGTATATTTACAAGACAAACGCTACCACCGTTGTTTAACTCACCGAAAATAGGAGAGACTGGTGAGGAGAGGCAATAGAAAGAACAAACAAACATTAAGCGTCTGAAAGACACTGGGATCAGACTGTGGGCAATGTTTGATTCCTGCTTTTCATTCCCGGGCCACTTTTTCTCAATATCCACGAGCAAAGAGGCTCTATATAAGGGAAAAGTTTCGTCGCTCGTTTCCATCAAATTGTCGATTTTTCCAACGAAACCGTCGAATATCAAGAACTGTTCTAGCGAGCGTGAGCAGCCACGACGACGACGGAAACGAGAAAATTTTAAAAAAATTAGCAGAATTGAACGTGCAGCACATTTTCTGGCAGATTTCTTTGCCGTCCGTGTGTTAAAACTTATTGGAAAGGCATTGCTGTGGTCGCCTTAAGGTGGCTCGATACAGTTTTTCAGGGTCAATTCCTCCCAAGTCTGAGGATAAAATACGTCACTATAAACAACGATTTCGAAAAATTGCCACTACAATTGTATTAGATAAAGACAAAAATTTGTTATGATCAGGGTTGCAATGACATCGGAATTGACATAGGGAAAACGAAATGACACCATTACCTATTTTACTTACAGCAATATTTCTTGGCACTGGCAACTGTTCTTCCAAAATCGTTCACGGGAGCTTTTCTCTCCAATAGCCGCCTCGATGTTCGTGAAGTTAAAAAAGCGAAATCTCTAAGCGTTATCGAGATACGTTGGAATGAAGTATTTATGGTTAGAAATACGGTAAAAAATGGACAATCTTGATGTTTGGCTGTTATCTGTAGAAAACAAAGTGCTTTTGACATGCTATTTTACCTCACGGTAGTTTCAATCTTTTTAAAAACGTGTGTGAAAGATCATGGAGATAGCTCCAGCCGAATACTAGAAAGAAGGATTTGATTAGTATGTATCGAGGCGCTCTTACTTGTTGGAGGTTTTGTAAAGATTTCCATCTACTTTAACGAATTAGCGAGTAATTCTTAAACCGTTCTATAGATTTTTTAAAAACATTAAGATTCTTGAGATTACCCGTCCTTTTATATGACTTTTTATAGTTTCAAGATTATTGACATAATTATTGTAAGGCAGTAAACAAGGGCATCTCATCAATTATTAATGGACAATCGTCGCGACTTCGATAGTCATACAGGCTCTTAGCGTCAGGTTTTTTAATCACCGGACGAATGTTCTTAAGCCGTGCACCTCCAATATACTTAATCGTTTCTCTTTATGTCTTAACAGCTTGTGTCAACATTGGTTCAAATACATTCTGCACCCGGTTTAAAGAGTTTTGCAAGAGGAAGAGAAATAAAGACTTTATGAGCAGATACTGTCCCCTCCAATGTGAAATGTGTTGAACGAGTATGTGGCAGTGCAGTAAGTGTCAAAACTAAGCTGTGAGGGATATTTGCCTTATAGAGAATCTACTTATCTGAGTGGTCTGTTTACTACGCTTAAGGGAGGCAAGGGGTACGCAGTGGTGAGAGCACTCGCCTCCCACAAATGTAGACAGAGTTCAAATACTGGCGTCGTGGCCGCGCCATTCGCCATAGGTGGGGTTGAATTGTTGTTGCTTCTCTCGTCAATCCTTTGCTCCAAGAGGTTTTCCTCCCGGTTTTTTCTCCTGCCTCGGCTCAAAATCAATTCCAGTTAGACCAGGAATGGTTAATGAGAAACCACTTTCTGAAGTGCTACCTCTGGATCGTAATTTTATTGTAACGTGAGGGAGCAAACAACATTGTGCTTTCATACGTACCGTAAACACATCAACAACTCATGGATTTCATCCCCTTAGGTATATAATATGCTTCAGCAGATGTGTGGAACCTTAAATCAAAATTATAGTGCGCTAGAAAATTTCACATCAGCAAAAATGTCGCTGTTAGCAATATGTGTAATGACTAGTTACTCCTTTTTTCCTTTTTTATTTTTACCTTTGTATGTGTCATAGTTTATCATTCCTGTTCTGGCTTCTTCTGCTTGTTTTTTTTCCTTCTTGATTAGCTACTGACTGGGTTTGACTCGTGAAAAAAGGTTAATATATTTAATAGTACATTTAAGTATCTAGTATTTGTATCACAAAGAACATAACTGGAGAAAATATTCCCAGCGGTCGGTACGGACCGTTTATGTTCAAGTAATTAAAATTGTTAATGATATATGAAATAAATCATATATGAACTGCGGAAATGAAATGAAAATGAAGAAATGATCGTCGCAGGGAACGCAATTTATGCAATTGCGTAAAGAAGCCTGACAAAAATTGGATTAATATGATTGTTATTGACGTTACTGATTTCATGTTTTTTCTTTTGACAGATTCTTTCTTTATCCTGATCAGGAATTGCAATGAAATTGAAAACAACAGCGTTAGTTTAATTTCAGAATCAAATTAAAGAAATGAAAGGCGAAAACAGCGTTAAAATTTGTATCTGGGATGCAAAACAAAATACCTGAGGTGAAATAGATTTCTCTGGATATAATGAAATAATAAAATGATAAAGGAAATACCGTAAAATTCCGAAAATAAGCCCCGGGGCTTATATTTTTCAAAGGCCCAAAAACTCCCCGAATAAAAACCTCCCCGAATAGATGCCTCCCTTTAAACGCAAAGTTTTAGCTAACCCGATCGGAATCAGTTGGAAGTAAATTTACCGTTTTTGCTTTGTTTTACTTTGTATTTGAGGGCAATTTTCCAAGTACAAGCCCCTGGGGGGCTTATATTTGGAGGGGCGGTTTAACCGAGGGTTTTTGCGCTACCGGTTTCGGGGGCTTATATTTGGAGGGGCTTATACATGGAGGGGCTTATTTTCCGAATTTTACGGTATTTACCGCAGAGTTTTGTTGTACTTGTTTTTATTGAGATACTAATTGAAAACTGCTCCTGACTTTGGATTATTTGTAACGAGTCGCGAATCCAACATAAAAGGTATTAACAATCACGAATTATAAAGGAGTGAAATCTCCCGTTGCAGTTATACTAATTCCCCACGAAATTTAGTTCTGATACTCTTCCTTGAAAGTATTCGGCATTTCATCGTTTGATTTAGGTGGAAATTCTCATGAATAAACACTCGGCATAACATACATTGTAACAGTTAAGTGAGACAATTAACAGAGGGCGATGAAGCACTCGACATTGATCGGCTGATAAAACCGCCCCATAAAAATTAGCTGCAGAGGCGGAAGCTTGGGCCGGGCGTCTTAAAAGGCTGCAACCACTGCAATGTGATTGGGTCAACCACTAAAACCAATACTCAAAATAGTTAATATTCATCCCTGGGTATTGTCATTCATGACATTATAAGAAGGTATGAGAAGTCAATCTGAACTGAGGCAAGCCCAAGACAGGCTGAATTGATTACATGTGTAGGTAATCTGGAACCCGACTTACTCGCTGGGGAGGGTGGATGGGTCGCCAATCGCCTTCGTGTCGGACAAAGTGAAGTGAATTGGACAATGCATGCCAGTGTTTCATATTATATATACTCACTTGCATGTCATTAATCCCCAGGGATGATATTTACAATTCAGATGGAACATGAACAGTGCATGTTTTTCGGGAAGTGTAGGTGATAAAGGGCTGTCGGGTATGCAAATATACTCCAAATATCAGATGTCGTCCATCGACTTGTCTTCTTGCTTTTCTTGCTATGTTTTTAGACAATAGTTTGCCGTGAAACGTGTAAAATGTTCCGTCATTACTCACTTCGCCATCACTCACTTCGAAAACAACTCAAACTCGTTCCCAGGTCTTCTCGGTTAACGGTTCAATAATCTGCAACTTTGCTGCACTTTTGACGTCATCCGTTCAATATGGCAAAATTCTTCCAAATTGGTCAACAGTAGTTGGTTATGAAGAATTATGCGTGTGATTTTAGCCAATCAGAAACGGAGAAATATTTTGAATGAATAATGATATCATTTATGTAAGGATTAGGATCTGTGACCCATTACCCATACGTCCAGGACGTCCAGCTGTGAGTTGGGGATGATCGCAGGAATATAGAGCGACTAACGGCTTCAGTTGCAGACATGAGAGCTTTACACTGAAGTGGAAAAAAAAGATCTCCGTATACAGCATACCATCTACACCTTCGAATTATAATGGCGTTTAGATTTCCTTTATTTGTCCAAGATACAGATTACATCGCATTAAATCTATTCAACAATAACCAAACCCTTTATTTAAACGCGATAAGAGATAAAGCTTGATAGCTTGAGGGATCGTGAAAAAAACGCCTCTTTCCAAAATGCCTGTAAGAGTAACAGAACAAGAAAAAAAAATAGGCAGATTAAACCCAAAAATATAAACTGGCATCACTTCTTCTTCTAATGATTAGACTTTAAATCAACTGACCAACTTGTTTGTCATGTACTCAGTGGTTGTTTTGTAGCGGTATATTACCCCTCAATGATCATTAACCAAACACTGAGTGAAGTATGTACTATAGCTAGTTAAACTATCTTGCGCCCTTTCTCTAGCCTGCGTAGCTGACGGGATCCTTGGGCCCGGGGAACTCCCAGACTTATCCCGCAAGCTAAGCATACTCCTTTCTCCTACACTTTTGGACTAATTTTGCCAAAGATTCCCATTTCTGTTTGACGCCTCTACAAGATCTGACGAAAAATCGGTATGAATCTAGACACTTAGTGAGCGCTATGGACTCTCAGTAGTGCAGGCATAATGTTCTGTGTAGGGAATCAAAAAGAAAATAGAAAATAAAGATAATTACATTATACCTCTTTACCAAAATTTATACCAAGGTGCTCCCCTGTAATCTCCTGGTTGAGCAGCGCCTACGCCTGGCTATTAATCAAAAAATAAAAAAAATAATTGGCATGATAGTTCAATGAATGAATGAAATTGCTTTATGTGCGTCTTTTTTATACCGCTACTGAATGAGAATTTTAAAAAAAGCAGCACAGTGTTGCTCGGCGAAAACAGGTATTCGGGAAATTACTGGTTTGGAGCGAGCTTATAATTAACCGCTCGGATCACTCATTACAGTGGGTGATCTATCGCATCTTTCGAATGTTTTCCGAATTTTTGATTGTCCCAGACCTCTCGATATTTCTCGATACCGAGCCTACTATAGCTACTAGCTGACCGGAATATTCAAAATGGCCAGCAGAGGAAACCATTCCACGCATCGATAAAGTAAGCTGCTTTTATTCAGTTTTTATAATGGGGTAATCGAATCAGATGTTAGGGAACTTTGGAACTCATTAACTTGTTAAAACCAGAATCAACACCCCCCTCATCCAACAAGTTGTTCAAAGAGAGAGAGAGTCTTAAGGTCGGTTCTCACGGATCTAGCCATTGTCCATCCAAGTTGTGCAAACACGTTCCTGTTGCTGGTTTTCACTGTCACGCCATCAAAAACAAAAATCAAAACTGTTCCCGCAAAAGAGATAGACCGAAATCTAGGAAATTAAAGGAGGTAAGTTTTAAGTGCACGCCAACGCTAGTTCAGGTCAGTGAAAGTTTTCATCTGCGAAATTTTCGGAGAGACTATTTACTCAGATTCAGAGACCTTTGTATGAAGAAGCCATGTTGGTGCCCATCCGAATGAGCACAAACACGGCGGCCGTAAACCAAACTAAAAAAACGTCACTGAGTTTGGAAACGAAAACGTGAATTGATCTCTCCAAGAACTAATAAACATTAAAAAGCAATATCTTTTCGAATACAATGACTGCTCAGCAAGCAAAATCCCCCAACCCCATTCCTCTCAGCTCTCCCAGTGGCCACGTAAAACCGAGAAAATGAAAGTGAAAATCTGTCGACTGAATATTCGTTTTTTATCTGCTATGATTCTTGACAAAAGTAAAAGTTCGGGAGGATCTCTCTCCTTAGCCGAAGCTTCCGCTTTGTATCGATACAGAGAGGTTTCTGCGGGAGGAGGATGCGGGAGGATCGATAATTCCATAGTTCAAATTTTTGATAAGTAAACGTCATTCAAAATCCATTGAGCAATGGTAGGATTAACGCTAGACTTACATCTTCATCGGTCGGCGTCCGTGCTCCTGTCACCTTATGCGCAGAAGCCGCTGCAGCATGAATCTCCTCACTTTTATTTGGCTCATCAACAGCCACACTGAAACAACAAGAAGTCCTGTTGAATCATGTGTTAATTACTAAGCGTTTTCGAGTTCGCATTCCCTGAAGCCAAGCTAAAGTCTGGCGCCAATATCGTTTATAGCGATACTCAGGCTGAAGTCACCTATTGATACTAAAGTGTACCAGCCAGTCTTTCGTTTCTCGTTACACATTTGAATAACAAAAACAATATTTATAAACAGTGAATGAAACGCGCACATTAAATCATTAGCATAGTTACCCCTGTTGTCTGAGCACGTCAACCGCTTCCCAGATTTTTTCAACTTCCTCCTGTAAAATAATTGGAATTTTCTTACCGCAGGTATAATCAAGCACTGAAGACCCGATGCAAACGTTTCATAGCTCATGTGAGCAATACAACTACAGCTTACCTCGAGTGCTGATGTCCTATTGGACAGTGCTTTAAGTCTGAAAACAATATTTAAGTGGATATGTACAGCATTAATACAAAGGGCTGATAATGTAGTGGAGTCTGATTTTATTATTTACAATGAAATTGTGATGATTAGGACTTCGACTTCAGAAAGCGAGTCCTTCTATTAAATAATGTCCTGAGCTTAGGGTGAGTGGTGAGTCGTGGCTCCTTCTTCTTCTTCTTCTTCTTCTTCTTCTTCTTCTTCTTCTTCTTCTTCTTCTTCTTCTTCTTCTTCTTCTTCTTCTTCTTTTCCATATACTGACTATGTCCGAGATACGACTACGTACTCACCCAGGGCCAGTTTATGACACAAATAGATTGACTAGATTGTTTGTTGAAAGTACAACAGATATGGCTAAAAAGGTTTCAATGATATGTGATACTATACTTACCTGCCTCGAAAATCTTTGCCCCTTGGTGACTGAACATTGCGGCAGTTATGATGAGATAAGATACGATAAACAAGATCAAAAGACTTAGCCGCACCAGCCTTAATCAACAAAAGTTATATTAGAGACGTGCAAATAAAAAATAAACAACTGATAAATAGTAGCCACAATATATAAAATTATCCAATCCAAATAACACACTCATAGTACTGTAAACTTCAATTATTCTATACATTAGATATCCTAAAAGAACTTATTGATTCTGGTGCCTTAATCCCTTGATCGATGTAGCTTGCACACAGACGTTGCTCTCATTTTCTTTTCGAAAATCGACAAGTGCGAAAGTCCACCCCCTGCCGCTATGGACTTTGAGCTCAGTTGATCGACGGCGCTATTGCACTCTAAGCTGATATTCCCGGGGGGGACTACTACCTTATAAGGGCTTAATGAGGACATGCAGCCAGCCAGGGTATGTTTTTCGGGATTTTTGTCTTAAACAGGGTATTGATTTTATCAATTTTTGTCTTAAACAGGGTATCTTTTCTTAGACAGGAACCCATAACCCTGTTCTTAGACGATAAACAGGCTGCGCTTATGTTCTACGAATGTCTTAAACTGGGTATCAAAAATCGGAATTCTGTCTTAAACAGGGTAGGAAAATCAGCGATTTTTGTCTTACAAAAGGTCAGGGTATGAGGGGCCGAGCCGCACTTCCCCACCCGAAGAAAAAACAAGTATCAGTCACCCCCAAACCCCATATCTCGAAATTGTTATCGCAAACATGACCCCCTGCTTTCGTATAGTCGACGTGTCTGGTATTAGGCTAATGCAGCTGCAGCGGGGTACTTCACGACTGTTGCCTGTAAAATAAAAAAAGACTCAAGATGCCCTAGGATGACCAAACAGATGTAGTCTTTTTACCGCCACTTAGAATACATTTCTAGAGATATAAAAGTACTCTGGATACCGTAAAATGTGTTTTCAATGCAATTAGAAGGAAACCTTCGTTGGGTGCCCCTCCTTAGTGGCGAACGTTGATTTAAACACAGCTCCTAATACTACTGGAAGGACTAGAAGTGCATTTATTTGTCCTGGAAACTGCTAGACCTTTGCGTCGCTCGGATGACCAGGTAGAAATTAAATAGCGGCCCCGTCTAGCGGCCAATAGGCCTGAAGTTAAAAATAGTGTCCTATCTTGTCCTTGATTTGTACAGCGTGCTTAATACATTTTAATGATTAAAAGCTGTTTCATTTTTCAATCTAAAACACATACTTCGATAATTACTGCTTTGTTTACACCGTGTCCCAACAGTTCGTTCCTCTTCTTTATAAGTCTGTATTTCAGTACCATTGGACTTGGTAAGAAAATCATTTAAAGAATAGTTGTGACTTTCAATCTAATTCACTATTTTCGTACTTTTTGTGCTATCTTTTGACTTGAATATTCGATTTGTGTACTGCCGCGCCAAAGGTGCGCGTGCGCGAGTATATTTTCCAGCCTTTTTTTGTTTTTATTTTATAGCCCGAATTGCTCGAACTCCTTCCTTGTTTTTTGTGAATGTCAAGAAAGATAAACACCCTTAACGCAAAAACGTCCAGCTACGTGAGAGCATAAGCATGTATACTTCGATTTACTGCCTTATCTGTTATAGAAACTGCTAAAAAACTGGAAAATCCGAATGTTGGGTGGTAAATGATCATGGCGAAATGAAGGTTTTGAAGGCAGGAAACCAGGGGGAAGACCAAAAGTCCTGAATAAAGCAGGTACAATAGTTTTAAGAAGACTAGATACAAAAAAAGGAGACGTCTCCACAAGGAAACTCTCACATAGTTAGCAAGCCAAGTCCAGAAAGGGTCATGAAAAGCTGTTTAAAATGTTTAAAAAATTAGAGACCCCTGAGATGGCCAAAAAAACTGCTTAGTCTACCAAGTAACGCCCAGCTCGTCTCAAATTTGTAAAGAAGTACAAAAGCCTTACTGTGGAAGGAATGATTATCTTTTTTGAATGAGTGGTCAATATTTTGTTCAGCTACCTAAACTAAACAAATATTGTTGGGGGCTGAACTGTCTGCTGCGCACAAGGTGACAAAAAAGCTCAATATGGATCATCTGTGGGTCTACACGCTGTATTCCACTTCATGCCGCAACGGCTACAGAATGTTATAAAAAAACAAAAAGGGTACGTCAGTAACTGAAATTCTGAATAGATGTTCTCGATAGTGAAATAAACATCTTCTTGGAATTTCAAGTAAAACTAAAGTTTTGATCAAAAGTTATAGTGCATGAAATTAGAGGAACGAACTTTTGGGACACCCTGTACAGCTAATCCTTTCTATGTTAACGCATGTAAAGAAAACTTAACCAATAACCTACAGTCCAGCAATATCTGGGTTACTATACCTTCAAGCCGTCTTTCACTTTCGTCTGCAAATGATCATTTCCGAGATTATCTTCTTTTTTACAGTGGATGTAGTTTCCATAGAGAAATACAGAAAAACATAAAAATTTAAAGCTCAAAGCCATAGTAACTGTTGTATTTACAAGCTAATACTAAATAAGGCACTGAGCTCTTTGCTGCGACAATCGATCATTTAATCAAAGAACGGGATTACACTATGCACCGTCACAACTCTTCTACAAGAATGGCAAATTATCTAGAAAAATGATTAGCAGGTTAGGGTGGAGGTCCAGTTTTCATTTTCTGTTTTATTAACAGTATGCCACTGCGATGAATTTCTATGCAGTAATTGTCTCTACAATAAATAGTTTACCTACCAGACAGTAGTGTCTTGAATCAAAATTTTACCAAATCTTGAATGTGGATATGCTATAAGACCGTGAGTACGAACAGATTACTATATGAAATTAAATTATAACTTTAATATAAATGTTACAGGTCGTAACTTGACGGAAATTGCATTGTTCAAGCTGTTTTTAATTTATAATCCCATTGAAGGAATCATGCTGTTTAAAATTTTAATTTAAAAACTAAAGAAATGAAATACTGTTTTGTATTTTAATCGACGAGAGTCCTGTCTTATTTTGGCGTATAGGGAGTTTAAATAATTAGATAAAAAGTGTAACGACTGAAAACAATTCTAATACATGCATAAATTGTAGTCATGCGTATAATACAAGAGTTTTGAGTGTCATTGACCTTAAAACATGATTTTAATTTGACAAGTATGTATTTGTAATCAGCCCCCTTCAATCGGATTTAATTAACAATTATTCCTCGAGCGCGAATGGCTATGGGCTATTGACTCAGAGCCCATTCGGGCTCGAGGAATAATTGTTTTAGTAAAATCCAACTAGTTTGTCAAAAATATCGGGAATAAAAAAATTTTGGCTAGTTAAAGCTAGACTTTAATCCTTTTTTGCCGCCAAAAAGCCGGCGCTTTTCGCTGCTAGGGGGCTATAACATATAGCCTAGTAGTACCTCAACCAATCAGAACGCAGCATTGATAATAGACCACTAGCTGGATTTTACTAATATGTAATAGACCCGTTTCCGAGTTTTAAAAACTCTCTCTCTAAACACGTGGCGAAGTACAAAACCTTTCCGAGCGAAAATGAGTTTTATTTGCATGAGAATGAAATCATTTTCATATCAATGGCTTTGCACTTTGCCTCGCTTTGAAACAGAGGCTGGGGGCAACTCGTAAATGGCCCATTGAATAACGCGTGAAACAATACTATACAACAAGCAAACACATTTACCCTATTTACATCTAGAAACTTTAAGAGTGCATAATTCACTGTCTGACAACTTTAAACATTCAAACAATCAACATTCAGCACGCGGACGCCATCTTGGTAATCGAGCCAGTTATGCCGTCCTGTGGAAAGAGTCCTGGGTCGCTTCCTGGGGGACCCAGGTCTCATGAACGTAACAATAAGCATACAAAAATTTCATTTTGCTACCCAAATTTGCCAAAAAAAAATTGGTTGCATGATCAGTAAATGATAATTTTGAGCTGCAAATCTACCCAAAAGTGATATTAAACTAGCAGTGCTATTTTTCGGAAAATAAATAAAAATTATGCTTGTAATGACGAATTATGACAAAAATTTTGCTGGCACAATCTATCAAAATCTGCCATAATAGTGCATGGGCGTGTACTGACAGGACGTGTCTCTATACACTCCCACTTACTGACGATAGATTTTCAATTCTTATACCTGATTCAGTAAAATCCTTCAAAAAAAGCAACGGTGAGCTGAAGAGGCCGCTCGAGTAAGCTGGAGCAACGAGTTTCGGAGCAAGAATGTAGTGTGAAAAATGTCAGTGATAGCAGTGCCTCGTCCTCCATCTTGAACCAAGAAGCCGAAGCGAGCCTTAAATTCATTTGCTATGAGTATGATGTTACCAAGGTTCATTAACAAAAAAAACTGGGACATCTTTTAAAAACATCGAGGAACGGCTGTTTAAGCTAGAAACTACAATTGATGAGCTTCAGAATTAACGTGAACATGCTATCTCAGACATTATTCTAAATAGAACTCAGGGAAACTTGGATAAAGGCTTTTTTTCCTGTGGAGTTTTTATCTGTTTTGATCTGCAAAAGGCATTCGATATAGTTCAGTGATCATTATATACTACTACAGAAGTTGTCTCATTACGAAATTCGTGGTATAATCAATCAGTGGGTCTGTTCATATAATTAACTGGAAGGATCCCAACCACTCAGGTTGGTTCTTATTTTTCTAAGAACGAGAAATCCTCTTGTGGTGTTCCACGGCTCGATCTTTGGTCCTTTTCTGTTTATGATATATATTAATGACATTTACAAGGCTTCAAATAAACTAAGCTTTTATTTATTTGCTGACGATACAAATTTATTGTAAGCTGATAGGAAATCGAAACCACTTGAATCTGTCGTAACTGCTGAACTAATTTCCTATTATTCATGCATCTCTTCAAATATTTTGCCTTAATGCATGATGTCTATAACAATGGCATACCATCTAACATTTTTTATCTGTTTACCCCTACTCAAGATATTCATCGTTACAACACTCGTTCTTCTTCCTTTGGTGTTTTTATATTAACTATTCTCGGCTAAATCACCTTAAGAATTCTATCTCTATTATACTCTATAATAGGCGCAGAAATTTGGAACAGTATACCAGACGTTCTGAGAAAACTCCCTAAACATAGCTATAGATTCAAAAAGAAAATAACCAAATCCTCACTTCATATCTTCCTTAAAAAGGCAGTTATGTTGTTATATAGATGCATTAATAAATGAATTAAAGCCACCAACTCCAGTACTTTTAACCACCCATTTTTCAGCTGCAATGTAAACTCTTTAAATTGGTAATTTATTCAAGCTCTTTTGATATGCCATCACATTCGCACGGGAAGTCTGTCATTCTGGGATACAGAAGAATAATAATATGACAACCGTGTTATTCTTTTCACTGATTATCCAAAATGGCAAACTGCTCGGGCGAATGTGATGGTATAAATATATCTAAAACGCTTGAACAAATAAACAATCACACGGGTTTACATTGCAGCTAAAAAATCAGTGGATGCTTAGAAGTACTGGATTTAGTGGCTTTATTTCTCCTCAAAATGGGAACCTAAGACGCTAAAAACTGGTAGGAGATTTCCAAAGATGCTATGTTTTGCTTTGTTAAGATTTGTTTAGAAAAGAAAGGGACAAATACAAAGAAAATTTGACGAATCGGGGGCAAGTTTTTGAAGATTGCTTTTGCGTCAGTACTGTTAAGTACCTGCCGGGAGGGAACGCCAAAGCTCACTAGTGTTGCGTTTTTTCCCTCTCGGTGGGTGAATTTTTTTTTCGTCCACATGGCGGACAAGGGGGCACCTGAATTGTTTTCGCCCACAACGACTCGGATATGCCAGAAAAAGCCGTGAATCTCTCACACTCGACACTTCTTGGAACAGCGTAGAGTGGGATTCAGTTTGGTTACGCGTTATCATGGATAGGGGACTACTGTTGTCAAGAAGAATTTGTCAGTTTATTTTGCTGTAGGCAAGGTTATTAATCTACTCTGGGAAAGGATTCGTCGGTTCATTTGATGTACAATGATTCATGTGAGCTCGGATCACTGATGCTGATCCGGATCAACCTAAAGGAACGCACCCGAAGACTGCTTGCAGTCCCTCGGGATCGCTCGTACATAACATGCTCGGAGGTCCCATAATAGAGACCTTTAGATTCGAGGACGAGTACGACATTTTTCACATTTTATTCGCGTATTATCGAAAAATAGGCACCTCGGAATGCTTCATTGTACTTATTTCACCAGTAAAGATAACAAAATGATAAAATTTCTAACATTTGAAAACTTGTTTCCGCCACTACGACATTCTCGCTAAAACTCGTCGCCGTTGAATGAGGAAGGCTAAATTTTCCCGCCAAAATGACCCTGGTTTACGCGCGTGCACTACTTAGTATAGAGAAAATCTCGTGCTCGTTGTCGTCCTCGTCTTAGAATCTAAAGGTCTGTAAACATAAGGGTCTGTCAGCTACCTACTGCTGATTATGATATACAAGAACAAAGCACATCATTCATGCCATCACTTCCTCAGCCACTAATTTCCTTCCCAGAGGCTGCGACCCTTTTGGTCAGCACTGTTTCGCTGGATAAGGGTAACAAAGGCTCTAAGGACGTGATTGCTTGGTTACCAATCTAGTACCCAGACTCTTCTGGCTTTTTGGGCAAAGCAACGTGCAAGAAGACTCTGGGTAGAAATTGCTTGACCGCAAGAACATCTTCACGACTATCTTAATTTACCCTCGTTGGCGTTTATCAGCCATTTTCAGGTTGTTCTTGAGAATAGGTCGGCGGTATCGAATTTGACTGTGGGACTTTGTTTCCAAAATAAAGACTAATTTTGACTCAATTTTCTGTGATATCTGGTGATAGATAAAACAAAAAGCGATAGCGTCCCCATCATTGCAATGCCGGGACAAGACACTCACCAAAAATGAGAAAAACAACTCAAGTACAAATAAGTCAGTTCTTGCAGGGTAAAATTCAGTTGGTGTGAAAGAACGCCTGAGTGATTTTGTTAAGTACAAAAACTAAAATCTTCCTGCTTGCCCCTGAAGTAACCATGGCGAACCTAACCGGATTCCGGATTCAGCATATTGTGCGATGTTGGATAATGTTGAAACTATTCAAAACAATGGCATACGAACATATGTTACAACACTGTGATGCTCTGAAAAACGACGTGGTCGACATCGCTCATTCAGTTGCGTCAGGCTTATGTAACAAAACAAGTAAGACTCTTTGTTTATACTTTATATTTTTTTATATTTTAATAAAACTGCAAACATCGTGAGCCCCTTCTACTGATTTCAACCACTGATAAGTCCATATTTAATAAAGAAACAAAGAAATGACTGAAGTCTCAATAGAACACCCTGTCCGTATTATTGGACGTTATTCACGACATTTCGCCAGCCAAACTAGATTTCCCTTTTTGTGTGTTGCGGAGTTTTACTCTTTTCTTTTTGAAACACTTCAGGATCATCTTTGTAAACAGCCGCCCCATAATCACCGGCGCCGTGCAATTTCTGTTTCGGCTGAAAAGGAATAGTTCAAGACCCAGTCAAACTAAGTAGGAATTAAGTCCACGTTGCTTTAATAAAACTATGGATAAGCTAACCGTACACATTGAGAACTATTAAGTTATGATTATCACAAGACACCAATATCTAACCATACTGACCGAACAAGCTTGGTCAATTAGTCATATCTATGGTAGTATACAAGTGTAAGTTTTATCTAGCATGATAACAAATGACACGGCGGAGAGTAGTTTGTATCCAAGCTGTTAAGGGTCATAACTTTACACGTATAACAAAACGGCCTGCTCCCATTATATGGGTCTTCAAAGCTCAGTTGGTAGAGCACTGCAGCGCCAACGCCGACTCATCTTAAGTAATGTAGCACATCGGTTGTGAAATATTTGAACATGGCGAAATACATGTTCCGATCACACTTTTGCCACAGCAGCATCTCAACGTCTTTCGTTTTATTTATTTATTTTTTATTTTATTTCTTTTCGTTTCTCGCTTTTTTCCTTTTTTGGCTTTTCTTTTTTAAGGTTTTCATTATCCCCCTGACCATAATTGATCCACTGTCGAAGTAAACTGAACACGCTTTATGAACAGCCTTGAACTACTGATATGGAAGATTACCTTTGTACCGTTCTCGACTGATTCAAGACTGAAAAAAATAAAAAACATAGGTGGTAATCTACATAATTGAGTACCTTCAGGCGCGACAAGAAACTGATCAAGAAAATGTCAGACGACAATATGCCGATTAACCAATTGTTTTAATCAAAACAAATTTTCCCGTAATAACACACAGTCGAAAATTAACTTCCACGTTGAACTGAATTTTTCATGTTTTAGCCATCCCTTTCGCCCTTCTTTGGCTCTTCAACAGTTTTGATGTACTCGTATCTGAGTCTGTAACTTTTAGCAAGACCAGGCAACCATTATTGCACCTTACAATTAACGGTGTTGGCAATATCGATGGATATATATATCTCATATAAGATTTCTCACGGAGCATTTCGTAAACGTAATCCTGTCCTAGATCCATTCGCACAAAAATGCTCTCGTCCCATTTTTTCTTCTTAAATTTTTACTTACATTCATTTGAAGGTGAGGAGAAAATTGGATGAGAGAGAACGCGTTCGATTCTCCCTCGAAGGCCTGCCAAGTATAAAAAAGCTTCTTCGTCGATTATTCAAGATTTACGTAGAATACATGCCTCTCAAAAAATTTGTCCTTGTTCGACGAGCAGGGGCACCCAATGGATCTGTTCCTCAAAATATCTGTTCTTCAGGCACATTTTTGCTGGCTGCCTCTACACCTTCTTTATTATCAGGAACCTTCCTTTCAAAACGACCCTTTTTCTATTAAGTCCCACAGAGAGGGGATTTGAAGTCTAGAATAGCTGCTACGGGTTACTTGTATGGGTTACTTACCACTCAAAATCTGAATTGTGCCCTATGAAACTTCCCAGTAAGTCGGGTTGGAGGTTGTAAGTTTGCTGGCTGGGAACTCTTCCATCAGTCTTGCTGGGAGTGAGGAATAGATAATTTTTTTCCAGCAGTCTCCCAAAATGCTTAAAATAGTCTCAGAAAACTTTATGCACGCTTTGTTGTTGTTTTTAGGTCTTTTTCTCAAAATTTCCCGTTGGGTGCCCCCGGACGAGATCTCGCTGTCACTGAAACTGTGGCGACGGTTATTCTAAGTAATATCAAAATACACGTTAATTCATGGCACGGAGTAGGTCAGGTAACAGCTAGTAAGTTAAAGACTGAAATTAGCAAGGAGAAAAATGAGAAAAAGGTAAAAGAATCATGAACATACCCACCAACTTTTCACATTTGACAAATGTCCTTTTTTCATTGATCCCACTTTGCAATGATAATCGCAAAGGCAAAGACAGATCAGCCAAATACAACGCAAAAATGTGTAGTGTAAAGCCATATCTGCAGGTTAACAGAAACTGCGGACAAGATACCTGAATTTCGCATAGGTGTACACTTGAAAAAGCTCACAGTGAGATATAAGAAATATTAAAGACCGACGGTGAAGGTAACGAGATTTTATCTTATTTACAGTAATCGTTTATCAATGCCTGGGCGCTGGAATGAGTAATCATCATTTCTTTTAACTGCATGTTTCTGTGAGGATTACCTCCACTTCAGTTTAATTTTTTTTCACCCAGAAATCAGTTAAATTAATTAAAGTGCTCACTATACTCTAAACAAAGGTTTGCCATCTTGGGTCGAAAGAGAATATTTCAATCAGCTATTAATAAAAGATGCTTTGCTAACTTTAGGAAAATAGAGTTATATAAATATCACGAGAAAATATAAAAGGGTCATACAAATTTCTTTTTTACTCATTGAAAACATTTCGCCATTTCTGATTGGCTCCAATGCCTCGGTAATTTTTTCATAACTGGCTAACGCGTAGCATATTTGGAAGACGTATGCAATAACCCATCGATTCGAAGGTATATTGTTAGCAGCATCGTTTCCAGGTAATAACTTTTTAAGAGAGTGTCTCTGTAAGAGCGGTCCGGTCGTTTTTGCTTGAGACACAGATTTAGCTCATTTCTTGTGTGTTGTAAGACATTCATGTACCTATACTAAAACCACAATCCGTTTGATCGGATCTCTTTATTTTTCAGAGTTTTACGGAAAATAAATTTCACTCGAGCGAAGGCCTGTCGTGACACTTTTCAAGACTTAAATTTGAGACAACTTTGGAGGGCAATTTACAAAAAAGTACGGAACAGATGAAAAGTTTTTAGGAGATAAAAATATGCCTATATCTACCGTTTAAATACTAAAATATGTTCAACAATGTTATGTTAAGAGGTTTTGAACTATATTCTCGTTGGGTGCCCCTGACTTAACCCGAGAGGCAACATTTATCAAATGCAACTAAATCAAATACACCAGAAAACACCCGGAGAAAACAACAGATTAATGGAAGTGGTGTCAATTATGTACTTGCACCATGTCATTCACAGGTTAAGTAAACATTTTCTTATTATTTAATTACTTTCAAAGTCGCTTGACTAACCAAAAGTAATGTCTTGCGCTGAAATATCACACTACCATCATTCGGTCTAATAGGCTTTTGATGTGGCTGCTTTAATTGGCTTAAATTGTGCTCATGGCTCTAGGAGAGGCTGAATCAGACATTGGTCTGTGGGGCCGGAATTGACACTGGGACTGAAACAGATCTTTCAATTTTCAGTGTACTGTAGTCCCCTCCACGTGCACAATCCAAAACAGGACACAATGGGCGCGATCCATTCAACCAAAGTTTCCGGAAAAAAGCCAGGTTTTGAGTTACCTAGCCAAGCCAGGTTGGCCTTTTCAAAGCTTTTTTGTCCAGGTGGAAAACTCCACCAGGAGAAAAGGGCCAGCCTCCGGTCTGAATGTTGGTTGAATGGATCGCGCCCAATCTTTCTAGCCTGCGAAAACATCCGTTTCTCCTCGCTCTTCGCCGCTGGGGACGTTTCGCCAGCGGCGAAGAGCGAGGAGAAACGGATGTTTTCGCAGGCTACAATCTTTCTGCTTCAATGATAAACAATGTCTTGGTGCAGTTTGTCACCGAACGACAATACAGCGGAACTTTGATTTGCCTGCGTGCAGACGTCTCCTATTTCCTTTGTTGCAAGAAAGGAAATAGGAGACGTCTGCATGCAGGCAAAACTTTGATCAGTATGAAACTCCAAGGAGTGCACAAGAAATTGATGACCCCGGGATTGATGATAGCTTTGCAACTCAGGCCACCGAAATTGTAGGTGGATCCGAAAGCTAGGGGAGGACCTGATCTTGACTTGATAAACGATTCCCTGCTAGTATGCTGCTGGCGGTGGCCTCTTTTACCTTGTATGCGGCTGACTGGTGATACCAGGGAAAAGAAGTCTCTGCTAGCTAAACAGAGAACTTGCGGGGAAAACGAGTAACGGTATTTGTACAGGATTAATCCACCCCTTTTCAATCTGACTGAAATACACATGTAAACCAGACTTGATGTAAACAAGACATTCTAGAAAAAAAAAGATGCAATTTGAAGCTCGCTCCCTTCAAACAGTTAACCAATCAGATTTGACAGTCTTACGTAGTCTTGGCGAACCCACCAATCAGAGTTTACTTTGAGGTGAATCCGCTGTGAGTTCGCTGGCACGTGTCAGGCATGCAAACGGTTGTAACTCGTAGATTTCAGTTAGGTAGCGGAAGGGTGTTTATTTTGCACGAATTTAAATCTATTTCACTCCGAAAATTGGATTTCTGATGTTTTCAGTACTTTTTGCAAAAAATGAATGATTCCATTTCTACTCGTTGCGCTAAACTCAATCAGATTTTTGCTGGTAAAACTGTCGGTCGCAAGAGCTCGCCGAATGGCGCCGGCTTTACTCGAGAGGCTTTGCTGGATGCATTTCTTTTACTGTTCGAAGAATGCAGCTCTGAATTTATGCTCAAGGACAAGAACATATCTGGATTTGTGAAGAAATGTAAGTATAAAGAGCTTTATTGGTCACAGAAATCACTTTATTTCTACCACATGCATGGTTCGAGGCAAGGTAGCTCAAGGTCAGTCGATTATAAATTTGGTCTGCTGATCGACTTCGCTAGCTTGACACGATCTCGATGCCAGTGATGATCAATAAAATAAGCCTTACTTAACAATTTTTTTTATATTTTCCTAATCACACAGACCAACCTGTGGTTGATGATCTTCGAAAACTTTGTTTAAGCAAAGACGATTTCAATGTTCTTAACACCATTGGCAGAGGACATTTCGGACAGGTACCCTGTAATAAAGGTCTCAGTAAGCTTTTAGCACGTCAGACGTTAAGTAATGTAAAAAGTCTACCTTATTTTTTAACTTTTTGGGTTATTCTTATGTATAATTAGACGTATTTGAGTTTAATGATGCTTCACTGCATACCTGCCAAGAAACTAACGGAATAAAATACCAGAAATGTTTTGGTTATTTGCATCTTCTATTTTTAGGTCTAACATTCCATGTGCAATATACAATGTACATTTCAGGTGTATAGCAGTATAATATTACTTTTTCTTATTTTGGGCAACAGAAAAGGCAAATAAACAAAATTATCAGTAATGACGGTTCATTCTGATCTGAATGCATGGTTTTAAGTTAATTTTTTTAAACTTAAAATTAGAAAAAGGAAAAAATTTACTTCACCCCCCTTTATTATTGTTGTGGTAATATTTTAGGCCAGAGTACAAACTTTCATCACCTATTTTACAGGTTCAAGTTGTCAAAGACAAACAAAGTGGTGATGTATTTGCTATGAAGACATTGAACAAGACCCAAACTTTAGCTCAAGAAAGTGTAAGTACAGAGTGGAGACATTTTTAACTACTTAATTGTGGCAAGATTAGCTAAGAGGGTAACCCGGGATTCCAGTTAATTCTTTCAAGGGGTGATGGGGGGGGGGGTCATATAGACCATCTGAGGGGTCACCAAGACCATGTGCGAATTTTTTTTGTTATATTTAAGTTAACACTTATATGTCATCAGTCTGGTCAGGAAGCCTTCTTTGGTGGGTCATTGACCCAAGACCCATCTCTTATCTGGAACACTGGTTGTCTGCAGAGTGGGATGGTGTGGGGCTGGTTCCCATGACTGGAAAAATACTCAGACAGAGTCTGAGACTGTTTGTAGGGACACGGGGGAAAAAAAGGCATTAGCTGACCGGCACATTCCCAGAAACAATATCATGAGACACATATTGGCGCGAGTTCCCTTCACGTTTCTGAAGTGCAAATGGACATCTCTGTAATGGAAAGATTTGTAGAGGAGTTTGACTGTAGATGTATGTGTAACCTTCAAACGGGGGTGTACGGTTGAGAGCTGAAATATGGAGGGATTGCATGAACAACGATTTATCCTCTAAAAAGTGTAAAAATTAACAATTTCAATGACTAAGGCTAACTTGTTTAAAGTTGGGCAAAATTTGAAAGTCACTGACTGTATTTTTGCCAATTTATTTTTATTTTTTTTTGTCCACTATTAGGTTGCATTCTATGATGAAGAAAGAGAAATAATGGCATTGTGCAACTCTCCCTGGATAACAGCACTCCAGTATGCCTTTCAAGATGCCCATAATCTTTATCTTGTAATGGACTACCACCCTGGTGGTGACTTGTTGTCGTTACTTAGCAAGTATGATGATGTGTTGGAAGAGGAAGTTGCAAGGTTTTATCTGGCAGAGATGGTGATGGCTATTCACAGCCTGCATATGCTTGGTTATGTTCATAGGTAAGACATAAGCTGCCTTATTACTATTGAGCCTGCGTAGCACGTGTTTCTGCGCAGTTTCGGAGCAAAGAAAGACCGAGAAATGGGAAATGGCCGCATGAAAAAAAGATCGAGAGCCATTTTTCAGACAAGCTTTCTTTGTTCCAAAACCACACAGAAATGCTTGCTATGCAGGCTTAATACCATGTAACTGATTTAGCTGTAAATTAATTAGTTTTTGCTGTGGTTTTCAACAATGTGTGTCCTAGTGTATGTCATGACCTGCCTAGTGTTTTCTCTTTAATTTTATCATCTTTCATAATTAGTTATAACTGAGAAAATCAATGGTAGCAGCCGGAGAACTTCATGAAATATGAACATAGGTATATAATTTCACATGTGAAATAGAGCCATAGTACCCTCTGAGCCTGAGAAAACTGCTGACATTTCAAGACACCAATGCTGGTGTTCCTGAGAATCAAAGTCGGTAGAATGAGTGAGAAATTCCATCTTGATGATGTGTCACTTACCCAGGTCTGGGTAGTGCTTCTGATTGATTGAAAATTTGCTTCAACTAATCAGAGGCACCAGTGACCCAGGTCTTGTTAGTGACACATCATCAGGATGGAATTTCTGAATTTATGTTGGCTGGTTTAATGTACAACTAGCCAGATACCTACAGCTGTATGTCATTCTGAGTTTAAAGCTTAAGTTAAGTCAAGTATAAGATGCTTTTAACAAAAGGTGTGACACAAACTGAGTGATTAAACTGACTCTTACCTGTGTTGAAAGAAAAAGCAAGACATCTGATTGGTATTTAAAAGCATATATTTCATGAATTACATCTAGCTACTAAAATCCGGGGACAGAAGTGTAGTGCTACACATCAAAAGAATTAAATGGAAAAAAATATTTAGCTTCTCCTGCTCAATTTCTTTGCATATAGTTCCTGGTAACCTTTTATTGAACTCAAACATTGTGATGATCATTTTTTCTGAAGGGATATCAAACCTGATAATGTTCTTGTTGATCGGACTGGACATATTAAACTTGCTGATTTTGGCTCATCTGCCAGGCTTGCAGCGGACAAAAAGGTGAGAAACTTTTAACTAGAAATCCTATGGTAATTCTCAAAATTCAGTGGTTTGGAATGCATTACGCAAGTGTTACCACACAAATAAAGCTAATTTTAGATGAATAAGAGCAAACATTGAGGGTATGGGTTTAATGAAGGGAAGGCTTAATTTGCAAGGGAACTCTTAGAATACAGGCTACTCAGGGTTATCATAAGTAGCTACAATCCTGGACAAAACTACTTGAGAAAATGTTTTCATTAATGCGCCCTACCTAACGCAACAAAACTGTTTCCAAATCAACGGCTTTACGTAAAGAAAACCCCCTCCCCCAGTTCAAAGTTATAACTTCCTACACATGCTTAGGGATCCGGCTTTCTTTTGAAGACCCAACAACACTGTTTCCAGGAGGAGGGGGGAGGGAAGAATCGGTCGGCTACGAAGTTTAGAAAAAATGCCCCATAAGTATGCAATTTTCTTAACAGTTTTGTTTCAAGATTGTAGCCTGAAAAACAGCCATTTCTCCTCGCTCTGCGCCGCTGGGGACGTTTTGCAAGAATTGAGGAACGTCTGCGACTCAGCGACAGAAATTCCATACTGATATGACATAAATCAGTGTTTACATTAGCATATTAGCAAGATTTTGGCTCTCTATCCCTCCTCCGTAGAAGTTCCTGATGGGTATCCCAACAAAAATAGATATAATAAAAAAATAGAAAGCATGCAGGGGAGAGGCCTCTGGGAAGGGAGAGGAGATTGGTTACAGCAAATTTGAATTCAATTAACAAACACAGATTAATTTAACCTCCTACCTGTATTTCATCTGCCAAATTAAGATTGAAAACATATAATCAATACAGCTATGTTTTATGTTAGGATGTTAACCCACATGATGGTGGACTTGTGTTAAACTTGAAAAAATACAACTAGTAATTTAAAGATTCATGTGTTTATTGAAAGCTGCCTGAACAATCATGCATTTGGTGAACTGTACAATATTATAATTATTGTTGGTTCTAGGTGCATAGCAAGATGCCTGTCGGCACTCCAGAATACATAGCCCCCGAAGTACTCACAAGTATGGATGGTTCAGGGGGGCCATATGGCTTGGAGTGCGACTGGTGGTCCCTAGGAGTGGTCGCTTATGAAATGTTGTGTGGACAAACACCCTTTGAAGCTGACTCTGTTGTTATAACTTACAGCAAGATTATGAACTACAAGGTACTTGACAACGTGGATGTTGTTAGTAAAAAATAAGACAAAACAGTCTTCAACTAAAAAACTACATTTGATACAATTTGTCCATTATGAAGAGGGATTTTTTGAAATTACATGATTTCTACTAGAATTTTCTTGCAATTTCAAGATTTTCTGATTCACAGTGAGATTTGGAGGCTAAACCGTCGAGACCATGGGCTGACAGCCCAAACCGTTAAGTTGGAAGGTCTGTGAAGGTCCTAAGTTTCTAATACCTTGTGGGAACCCTTGTCCAGTGAATAAAGCTAAATTTCATGTACATGTATACCCTCGTAAAAAAACAAACTAGATTATACCACGCTCTAGTCCTTCTATTGAGCACTCTGCTGAAAGGTGTGTATAAGTATCAACTGGTGTATACCCTCCTAAATATACTTTGCCTAATTTCTAGTGCTTTACTGTTATTGTAGAGTTCTCTGAAGTTTTCTAAGGATGTTCAGGTCAGCAAAAATGCCAAAGATATGATTTTCAATCTGTGTACTGAGAGTAAAGATAGGATGGGTTATGAAGGACTCACTTGTCACCAGTTCTTCACGGGCACAGACTGGAACAACTTGCAAGATAGTAAGTGCAAGAATTTCATGTAGGTTTGAAAAAAATGTAATGAGCAAATGAATAATGATAGATCATACTAGCAGTTATCAATTTTATAAAGTGAGGAAAACAGAAAAAAGTCAGGAAAATACTCAAACAATAATATTCTGGAACCCTACTGGACACGTCTAACGTTACTGAAAGTCAAAGATGTTGACGCCTCGTTGAAGAGACTCGCGCCAAAAAAGCTATTAAACGTTACAGTTTTTGAAATTAATGAACAGCAATGCTTAATGCTGGCATTCTTTTTCATCAACTGAGCATTTTCGTGTGCTTTTGTAATTTTCCAAAAACTTCTAGCGACCAGACCAACCTTTAATGACTGAGCAGAATATACAACTTGTAAGGGGAGGGTCTAGGAAGCACAAGGAAACGACTTTCTATTTTTTTTAAACTTAGATGCAGTCTTTGAGAATTCAACCCTAGAAAAATTTACCAATATTAAACAAATTGAAGGACATTAAATGAGAGTGTTGAATTTTGAAATAGTATGAATACACTTTTTAAGAGACGTTTTCGGCACCGTCGGTAGTAATTGTTTAAGCTCCCTATATGGTCAAATGATTGACACTATAATTTATTTTGTTTTAGCTGTACCCCCATACGTACCTAACCTGGATGGCGCAGCAGACGTGTCGCATTTTGACGAGTTCGAGCCCGAAAGCCCTGATCCAATTTTTCATTTGGAGAAGTACAGATCAGCACACGAAGACAAGGGATTCACTGGAAAGGACCTTCCTTTCGTAGGTTTCACTTTCTCTCGGAACCTCGCCATCAATCTCCCGTTTTCGCCCAGAAAGTAAGTGCTCGTTGAGCATTAGTGCTCATACACTCGAACACATACATATATAAAAAAGTCTATGCAAAAAAAAAGTTGAGCTTAACCTTTCTTTATGACTCGCAGTCTTTCAGAGGGACAATGATTATTTTAATTGGACAAAATTGAGTAGGGTCGCCTTTTTTTGCTGGGTAGTGTCAGATCAGTGTTCTTACGAAAGATTTTTTTTTCCAAGAATGGTGGACAAAGACAAAAGGCACAACCCATATAGAAATATTGTAAAAGTTTCTACCGAAATAACGGTTTTTTTGTTTATTTTTTCGTTCAATCTCTATGATAAAACATTTATCTCTTCAGAGAAAAAAGCCCTATGTTTACCTTATGTCTAGTTTTATTTTTGTGTTTTTTTTTCTGATCAATGAAGTTCCTAACGTCCGTGAAATAAGTTACCTAACTTTGATCACGGTTATTAGAACAAAGTATGTTTTCTTTATCTGCCTACAGACCCGGAAGTCTTCCAAATTCCCCAGCAGGCTGTCCCCCTAGTCGCCTTGAGAGAAAGCTGACTATCAAGGCAAGAGAATTAAAGGATGCGTTACAATCTTGTCACACACTTAAGGATGAGAGTGCTACCATGAAAAAGACCTTGGATGATTTGCAAACTGCACTGGAAGAGAAAGACAAAATGTTACGAAATGCTGAGTATGAAAGGGACCTTCTGGAAAAGGAGAAAGTACTCTATGATACCCAAGTAAAGGTAGGTCATTTAAACGTCCGGTTTTTCAGTAATGTCACGTTGCCTTATTTATGCAAAATTGTCAAAATACGTCAATGAAACCTTCTCGTTCACCTTTGTGCCATAACAAGGAGGGTAGCATTAACCATAAGGTATCTCTGTCTCTGTTGGCTGCGGAAGGAATTTTACTTTTTTTCAGCATGTTTCCTAGCGTACGGAAATTAGGCCTGCGTGGTAGGGTGTGAGAGACACGCCAGGCGCGTGTCTCCCTCGCGCCTCCCGTTCTTTCTGGCGCCGATTTTCCTTACAAGCGCCTGCTAGGCAGGCCAACGGAAATCATGCTTTCTACTTTTGCTGAGATCATGTTTTTGACCTTGTAACATAACACTTGATTATTGTTCTTAATCTTTTATACTTGCAGGACTTGCAGAGAAGACTCGATCTCGAGAGAGCGGAAAGAAATAAGACGGACTCGGCCACTCTTAAGTTACTTTCTGAACTGAAGGAAGGCAGTCAAAAGGCAAACGAACTCAGGGATCAAGAAAGCAGGTAAGTTAAAATGAGTTGCTACAAGGGGTTAGGGGGTTGCTTCTGTGGAAATACGTCACAATAGATATTAAAATATTTTGTCCAGCCAAAAACGTTTTGGACCGGACAACTCGATTTTAAAGTAGTTATTCTAGTCAGGTGTATTTTTGTAAGTTCGCTGAATTGAAAGGTCTTGCAGTAAGTAATTAGTATAGCTTTTTCGTAGTTGATTTCACTGAGACACAGGGGTTTCAATAAGCTCTGACGGTCGACGAAACGCGTCGGCTACTTTGCTCATAGAGGTCGGCTACTTTTTTCTGGAAAGAAGAAGCAACTAGTTTGAATAACGTTGTAAACAAAAAATAAGTCATAAAAACTGAATGAAAACGTAATTATGATGTGTTTTCGTGAAGGCCCACTGGTTTTAGATTATGCTTTAGTCAAGTGAGCGCCATGCATATTTCAGTCATTTTTTTCACAAGTTTCTTTATAGGTTTACGCAGAATTTGTTTACGTTCAAAAGTACATAATTTAGTTTTCACCATTTGTTAATTGCTTGCAGGAATTTGATTGTGTGACTGATAAATTGAAAGCTACATTGTCTTGAACGGAAAACGTGCTCTTTTGTCCTCAAATTTAGTCGCCAGAACGCCGAAAACAGCATTTTAAGGGCTTTGAAGTTTCAAAATTTATCAGTTGGTTTCTCTATTAAAGGGTCCTACGGACGGAAATGCAATTGTCAGCGACGTTTCGAACGTGTTCGCTTCTTGTTTTACAGAGAAAATCTCGAGGATCTTCAACAGATTGTAGCCCAGCTGGAAAATGACCGATTTATCGCCAGCAGACGAGCACAAAGACTTGAAGAGGAGCTCAAATCACAGGAAAAGGTCTGGCAGAAAGAAAATAAATCATGTACTAGCTGGCAGTAATCATGCGGACAAAGTTGAAACAATTCATCTCGGGGGCACCCAACGGGAAATTTTGAGAAAAAGACCTAAAAACAACAACAAAGCGTGCATAAAGTTTTCTGAGACTATTTTAAGCATTTTGGGAGATTGCTGGAAAAAAATTATCTGTTCCTCACTCCCAGCAAGACTGATGGAAGAGTTCCCAGCCAGCAAACTTACAACCTCCAACCCGACTTACTGGGAAGTTAGATCTTGAGTGGTAAGTAACCCATACAAGTAACCCGTAGCAGCTATTCTAGACTTCAAATCCCCTCTCACACCCTGAATTATCTTTTTCCCAGCAACACTTTCCTTCCAAGGACTATTATTTCTTCCACATTTCCCAGCCAGCAAAAATGTGCCTGAAGAACAGATATTTTAAGGAACAGATCCATTGCGTGCCCCTGTCATCTTTGTGAAATTTAGGGATTGTCATTTCTTTGCATGTAGAAAAAGGTCTTGCGTTTACTGAATAAAGCGATTTTGTTGGTTTGTTTAATATTCAATTCAAGGAGCAAGCTTCTTCGATAACAGGGCAAGACTTGTTGGCTGTCCACGGCAATTTCTTCCAACACTTTGCTTGACCATCGATCTTAACATCTATCTAACAGTATATGAGCATTTACAACACAAACAGAGTTATATTCCGGCTCGAAACAGCACTGAAATGTTCGTGTTCACGGTAAAAATTCAAGATGTTCACATTGTAAACATTTTTCTCTCTGCAGCTTCTTGAAGTCAGCAAGAGCCGTATAAATGACCACCAGGCAAGAATGACAAAGGTAAAAGCATTCGGTGGTAAACGCTCATATCAATGTTGGTCGATAGATTTGTTTTTAGTTTGGATGCTTGTTTGTGTTTTTTCATATGAAGTGCTCTTGTTGATCAGAATATAAAACCTCTTACAATTGCTCTTCGCCAATACTTCGTCTAACACAATTCTTCGCTAGTGCTCCGCCAATTAGCGAAACAACAGGAGACACAACACAGAAATAGCCGTTGCTTATCTCGCGTTTTGCATAATAAAGTAAAAAACTTAACTACCAAATTAACTAGTTAACGAGGACAAGCCAAATATATAGGACAGCAAGGAAAAGGAAACCTGTTGATAAGCACAGTAAGATGAGAATATGAGGAATAAGGCTTAAAGATTTGTGTAGCTTTGAGGTTGCTGAAGATTATTGTCTTTGTCGCTATTAAAGATGAACGAAGAAGCGAAAAGAGGCATGGTGGAGTGGCAGGAAAAGCTGGATAGAGTCACCAAGGACAGCGAAGAAAGGATCTCGGAACTGCGACAAAAGTTAGCCAAAGTAAGAAAAGAAAGTTGCATTGAACTCGACTCTGCTTTAACCTTTCTCGTCTTGTCTTTGTGAGTGCGAAGTTGGTGACTTTAGCAACGACGACGCTGTTAGAAACGGCAAATAATGGCTAAAGGTTTAGGGTGGATTCATTTGCAGCCGAATGTCAAATGCGACGGCCATGGGCATAGCAACTTTGCACGTGCAGCACACTTTTTAGTACACATCTTTGCCGTCATTACACGACAACGACTATTTCTTTCTCTTTCTTTTTAGACTTGGGTGCGGACCCAAGAATTCAACCCCAAAGAAATTCACCCACATCTGGCATTTTAAGTGAGTTGGAAGAAACGCGACAAAGTTAAAAAAAAAAAATCGGGATGGGTTCAGGAAGCTGCATTTTGTTCATCTTTTTACCTGTTTTGCCCCCTCTCATTAAGTATTTCTGCCAATTGTTCCCGGAAGAAAATAGATAATTACGATGGCGTTATAGTTTCGTGACAAATCGGGCGAAGGGAACATCTTAGTTCTAAACTAGTTTGGTCTACATGTAGACGATTGATTTGTTTTCCGTTCTTTGGTTTTCAGTCGCTACAATCCAACCAAGAGGCTACAGAGTTGTTGGAGAATGTGCGGAAAAGTAAAGAACAACTACAATCGCAACTGGAAAAGCTTCAGGTTCAGTATAATCTCGATCAAAGTTTATGAATAATTTTTCTTCTGTTTGATTGTTTTCAGTTGTCAGACCGTGATTGTGAATCAGATTCAAGGGCTTTCGTTGTCGAAGTGAGAGAGGAACACTCGTGATCTAAGCTTCTTAAACTCATTAATTATAAAGCCAAATGCTGATAGCCTTCGCAGAAAACAAAACAAAGTTTGGGTGTCGGATACTTTGGGAGTTTGGTTGCGGATAATAATTACCATATTTTGTTTATTAGAAAATCTAACGTTGTCCCGACAGGAGACTAGCCCATGACCTTCTAATTATTAGTCCAGCTACTCCACCACTCTCGTGAGAGCTAAGGCTATTATTCCAGGTTCATATGACAAAAGTCCTGCACAAAAATCGCAATCATATATAAATGTCAAATGTTAGAGGGATTATTGATCACTTGAGTAGCTACATCAGATATTCAACCCTGACAGTGTTTAATCCGAATATCTGTAAGTCGCCCTAAAACGATCCTGTCCTGGTTGTGCAAACTTTGGATGGCGCCATCTACCGGATAAATCACTATCCAGGGGATAAGTATTAGATAAACCGATTAAGCTATCCGCTGGATAGTGATTTATCCAACGTTTGAACAACCGGATCCTGGGCTGCGCGTGGTTTTTCTCAACCTACCACTCAGTGACTCGATATCGGATCAAACACTGAGTCTTGTGCTTATCATGTCAGCTTTTGAATCTTTCTGTGAAGGCCAACTGTGTACAATCAATGTCTTATCAATTATCAACACAGCTGGTTGAACCAATTTTCGTGCTTCCAACAAGATGCTCATTAGTTCATATATATTGCCTTTCAGAAATCAGTCCAGCCAACAATTACAACAAATAGAAATGAAAAGGTGAGATTTTCCTTAATTTGATTATCTTACTGATTTACGTGATCTTGAGGCAGAATATTCTACAGCTACCTAATATTTAGTAGCACGGAAGAACAAACTGAAACATAAAAAAGTCCTTATACATGTTTGTTGTTTTAGTGCGAAGGCTTATTTAGCGATTTGTGTGAACCTTTTGTCACTAAATTTGTTATGAAATGAAATGTGGCTGAGACAAGTGCGTTCTTGACTCAAGTCGATGCCTACGCAGGTCTTGAATCGGTGCAACGGTTTTTCCTTTAGTTTGATAGTTCGCGTTAGACTGGGTCGAAGCTGTATCGAATTGCACTATGGGAACATACTTGAGGACGCTATCGCTTCTATTATTGGCTGTTTCGAGGTTGTGCATGGAACTGGGTGAAAATAATGCCGCGAAACAATTCCACAATGCAATTCGACACAAGACCAACTAAGTCTCACGTGCACCTCAAATTAGCCAGTCCTAGCGAGTAATGTGTTTTATTTTGCTGGAATTAGCAAAGATAACACAAGAAGAATTTTTGATTTTAAGCAGAGAAAAGCTGAACTTTTGTCGTCTTTGTTTTCTACCATTAGCCCTTTTCACTCACCAGAAGATCAGACAGTGTATTGATGGGAATTAGAAACAGGGAAGAAATAGCTCAGGAGTTATTCAATAAAATAATGGTAAACAGATTAGAAATACGTACTGTAAAATGGGTATAGTATAGTATAGAATAGTCAGTATGAGTTAAGCTTCAACTTTAGGCTGATAGCGTATGAGTTTTAATATAGGTTCGACTTTTTAACACTAGTGCGCAATACCACATGAGTTTAATACCTCTGTAGTCACCCCCGCTGTTTAGGGCGGGAAGAAAAGCGGAATGGGAGGGAAAAGTTAGGAAACTCTTTATGCTTTTTCTCACGAACCAGTCGCTATGACCGGGCTCTCTTTTGTTCTCATTTAGAATGTCTCCGCCTAGAGATGCTTCCCTATGTTTGCTGCTTATACCTGATCAGATAGCGGCAGAAAACGAAGCTTACGTACAGCCCTGGGTTGTACTTGGAAATGTTAAAAACCTTGTTCCTGGCCCACGTTTAGAAAAAACGAACTTTAGAGTGGAAAAAAATGGGGGCTTTTAAAAAGTTTTAAGACAGAAATCCAAAATTTCTGTTAATTTCGTCTATTTTCAGTCGTGTAACAGAACTCATGCAGAGGAAGGAGATAATAGTCTACGAGAGCGTTATAGAGAAAAATCCGCAGAAGTGAGGCAGCTGCAAAGTAAAATCATGGTAAGCCGTGAGTTGGTCCCTCAAATGGATCGATCGCGAGCTTTTTTATCGCTACATACTTCAGAATATTCTATATTTCAAGCAGATTTCTAGATATTGCAAAATTGCTATGAATTACTATGAATTCCATTATGCTTGTTCCGGAATACGGTCAATAGAACACGCCCTTTTAAATTAGTGTTTGATTTTAATTTAGTTCTAGATTTGGCAGCAAATACAACTTGAAGAGTTAACACAATTTTTTAGTTTCAATTCTTCTTTCGTTCTTTTTTTTTTTCTTCCTTTTTTTGGTTTCTTTCTTTTTTGAGATCTTATAAAATGCAAATTGTAATTCCGGTGTCATTTGTATTTTTAGTCAGGCTTTAACTCCATTAGTTTTATAAATTCCTAATTTTTATGAATTTTAATTTTGATTGAATTTCATTGGCATTATTACTAGTTATCTCATTTTATCATGTCTTCCATTATTATTCATTTAGTTTTGAAGACTTGTTAGCTATTTTCTTTTCTCTCGGTGTCCCCAATTAGCTTGTATAACCTGAACACATCGACACTTGAATAAAGTAGGTAGACTATTTATATTATGTTGTGTTTGTGTAGGATCTCGAGGACCAGTTGTTTCAGTCCCAAAGAACCCAAAAGAAGCTCGAGAAAGATGTGGCTAACAGACAAGCTCAAGAAGAAAAACTGCAGGTAAAATACTGCCCAATAATACTTGACGGTGAATTGCTATTAATGCAGATATCCTCATTTCCTTCTGTTCGTGGTTTCTCTTCCTTGTACTTGCCCTCACTGACATTTTGGCGGGATTTCGTGTACACTGTCAAAACACCAATATCTCCCCACCTTTTCAGCCTAAAATACTTATTATAGCGTTCTTCACACGCGTTTGAATAACGTCCATGCGCAAGAACGGAATTTGAATTAATTGCGAAAGTTTTATACTTGTAACGAGTTGAAAAGGAAACACTTGTTGAATTCTTCTCTGCGTTTTGCCAAAACAGTGAATCAAACTGCCATTATGTGCAATCTGTATTCACTATAAAGAAGTGTACAGCTGAGAAGATCGAAGGAAATTGGGTTTTTTTCGACTGAGGTTCACTCTTGAGACTGTTCGTGTAGTGATCTTCGCTTCCATTCATCACATGTAGACAAAAGGTAAAGTAATTTCTGCGATAAATTTGTCTTACTAGGAAGCTGACAAAGAAGTAAACAGATTATCACGCTACAAACGCCAGGTGGATAGCACAAACAGCAGACTAGAGAGTGAATTAGAGGAAGCAAGAAAACTAATAACCTCCAGAGATCAGGTGAATGAAAGAATGGCAGATCATCTTGTAACACGGGATAAGGCTTATCCACCTTATAAATGACTGTTCATTGGATAAGTATTATAGAAACCAATTGGATTATCCTCTTGGTAAATATTTGTAAAGTGGATAGAACCTTTTAAACAACGTCTTGGCGTGCTATAAAAGGGAGCTTAAAAGAAGTAGCCAGTGTGGCAGGCGTTTGAAAGAAGAGGAGAAGGTGATTTCTGGCGTGCCTCAGTAGCGGATCCAAACCTTGAGATAAGAGCGGGGGGGGGGCTTAAGGGGGGGCTGGGGGCGTTCATCCAGACCCTGAGATAAAAACATGTATGTACGTATGTATGTCTGTAAGGGGGATGCCCGCTTCTAAATTTTCGGCCCTTCGGGCCTCAGTTTGATCTAAAAATTAGGAGGGGGGCGGTCCCGTATACGTGTCACGATTAAGGCTTTCTATATAAGTTGACTACTAGAGTAACAGTCTGTCTGTAAAACTGATTTCGACGATATCTCTGTTTTATCTCATATAGAAAATCGACTCCTTGACGGGAAGATGTCGTACGCTAGAAGAAATGCTGAAAGAAAACGTTGACCTTAGCAGAAGTTCAGATTCAGATTATGACGCTAGTAACAAATCGTAAGAAATTTTTCATCTTTTTTTTTTTGGAAGCAAAAGGAGCAGGGTGTAAATTCCCGCAGTTTTCTAAGGCTATTTGTCTTTCAAATCGGTACGTTAAATTTCCACGGAATCAGAGTACGCCTTTCATTCATTTGATTTATTCTTGTTATGTAAGATATTGTTCATCGTGGTTATGTTGTATAAAGGGTTTCGTCTATCGTTTGTCTTGCAATAGTCACTTAGATATTTATTGCGACGTTTCGGCCGCGTTTTGCAGGTCTTCATCACGCGGTAGTGTCGATTTACTGAGTTGTACTATTCGTACCACAGTGGTTGTTAGTGTTAGTGGTTGGTGTGTCTCGATCCAAAACATTGTTGGCATTATTAGAAGACGAAACTCCTTGATTTATTCTTGTTATTTTAGTTAGCATGTTCCCACCAATAGCCCAATAGCGTTGCTCCATTTTTCGACATGCATGTTAACTGCATACAGCCCACTATCCCCTTAGTCGTTCTGACCAAAGGCTAGCACTCGAAGCGTCAGCTTTTCGGTCTTTTTACTGCGCCAAATGCTGATTTGTCTTTTAGAGCTGTCAACCAAGAAGAACTGAAGAAATTGAGCGAGGAAAAAGAAGTTATGACTCGAAAAATAACTGGGCTAGAGAGCGACCTCAAGATACAGCAACAGAAAAACGCTTGTTTTGAGAAACAGTTAGAAGATGCTGAGAGCAAAGTGAAACAGGTAAGATGACCAGCGATCATTTCCTTAGGCTCATTTTATTTATTTCCAAGCTGTGTTTTCAAGATGAGTTATTTGCTTATGGCTAACAGAGAGTATGATTTGATCAACTAGATTTCAAAGGATATGGAGAAAAAAGTCGAAGACCTCAAGACACAACTAACAGAGGTAAGTTTTCGCCTTAAATTATCTTTAGCCAATAGACTGCTCATTTGCTGCAATTGAAAATTGTTCGCTTTAATTCTCGAAGCTTTAGGGTGCCTTATCCTTTTTTGTGAGTAGAAAATTCCAAAAATTAAAAGTAATACGCACAGTGCAATTAGAATAAAATGGCCTCTTCTCACGTGTTTATCGCCACTAAAAGAAATGACTTGTCACTGCGCTCCCTCTTGTTTCAGCAAAATCAACAGGTTCAATTTTTTAAAAACAGTAAAAAAATTGTGACGATACTGACACAATGTTTAAAGTTGAAGAAATAAAAATTATTGGGCGTAAAAAGAAAAGAAACAAAGAAAAACAAAACAACACACGATGTCCACAAGAGTGTGCGTCGCTGATCTTGCGTCCCATATTTCATTTTTATCTTAGCAATTAAGATCATTTAACTTTGAAGGGTTGAGACAATTTTGTGACCTTAACAAATGTTGAAGTCGTGAAAATACTTGCCCTGTTACCATCATGTCGTGGAATCAAGAGTATTTAATGGCAGTGTGCTTGGCAGTCTTTTCACGTACCGTGGGAAGCCGATCAATGATAATCGTCTTCAACCCCTAAGACTTGATCACTTCTTGTCAGGTTGACCAAGCGTATTGTTACGGAGGCATCTTTCTTCTTCATTTTTTTCCCTTTGATATACTGTATGCACATAACTGTGACTTGTTTACTTACGGTGACTAGAGCAATCGTGACTTAACATGTTGATCACAAACGACTTGTTTATTACTGACCGCCTTGATTTCTTCCTTCAGGTCACCAATGAGTGTTCTTCTCTGAAAAGTACTAAAAAGGCGCTGGAAGAGACCATCCTTAAACTCGAGGTAAGTGACACCGTACAGTTTTTTAAATCTTTCGTTATAGCGTTATTGTCTCCTCATGGCAATTTTATTAAAATCTATTTTGTAGAATGACATCGACACTAGAGAATTTGAGTTGGAATTGAAGGTGAGTGTTCCTCCTTTCAGTTATAGTATTAGTCTTAAGACAAACGGAATTTATCTTCAGGCCTAAGCTTTTCAAGCCGCAAGATTTGATGTTAGCTGATTTGTTTTGTGTTGATACCAGGCGTCGGCCAGGCAAGACGAGATCACAAGAAACATGCAGGAAAATCGCTCCGAGGTAAACCTTCCTTCATTTGTATGTACAAGGTGGCAATGGCCGTTTTTACGCTGGAGACGTCAGTCTTTTTAAGACAGACGCATTTGATGACATAAGTTCGTTGAGACGCACCTAACAGGCCACTTTAAAGTTTCAGACGTTAAATGCATCTTGTATAAAAAGAGGACGACGTAAACTAGGACGCACTTATGCCCAAAAAATCAAGAAACGACTGGGAAGAGTTAGTGTTGAGTTGTTGATGTTGTTGTTGTTGTGTTGTGTTATGTTGTGTGTTTTTTTGTTTTTTTTTTTCAGAAAAACTTTTTTTGCACTGTTATCGTCTACTTTTATGCGTGTTGTTTTTACACCAGTTGACTTTGACGTTAAATAGGTTTAGACGACTTAAACGTCTCTGGTATAAAATACTGATTAGCTGAAGGTTGACAGTCCCTGCATATATCAGCAGTTTCTGCTTGCGGCTGTCATCCGCATCAAAAGTTATGTGATTTAATAGAGCCTCCCACCCCTTGCGAGCTACAACACTAGTCGCTTGTTTTCCTTTTTCATGGTGAAAGTTTCAGTTGTAACTTGTAAATGACTAAGCAGTTGCCATCGTTTTCGTGTTTGTTTCTTTTTTCAGGTGGTTCAAGAAATCCACGTTCAATTCAGTGAAATGTCGAATCGTTGCAACGAACTGGTTTCACAAAATAAGGTTTGTCGTGTTTTGCAGTTAATCTTTTCATCATAACTTCTGTAACGAGGAGACAATATGATAACTCATCAGAAGTATTGTAACAACGTAGTCTGTTGTAGAACAGGCTAAAAGTTATATTTATGTTATCTCTTGAATTTGCAACTTGTCGTTGGATCTCGGCTTTTTGTCAGCAGAGAGATTTAATACGGATTATCCGAAGTGTAGTTCCTTTGAGCCAAATAGAACGGGGAACAATTTCAATTAAAATCTGACGTTTGACGTTCAGCCCAGTCAAGCTTCTAATATTAACGCCAGAAGTTAACAAACACGTCTGACTTTTGTTTATATGCAGCTAACCCGTGATCCTATTACTACCTGTAATGTGTCTGAGCAAACAGTTAAATAACAGGAATAGTAACTTTGCATTTTCATTTTTTTTTTTTTGGCCCCGACTAGACATTCTCATGTTTTTTCTTAACTCTTTTAGGGACTGGAAGCGAAACTAGAAGAGCTTACTGAAGAAAACGGCGATTTAAAAATGGCAAACGAGAAACTCGAAGATGATCTGAAAGAAAAGAAGAGGGCCGCGGAAGGCATGGAACTTGTGAGTACAAAAATTTAGGACACCTTCTCCAAGCCTGAGAAACAGCCGACATTTCGGGACGCCACCGCTTGTTTGTCCTCGAAATGACGTCTGAGAAACGAGCGCAGAAATTCCATACTAATGACGTGTTACTACCCAGATCTGGGTAGTATCGTGTCATTAGTATAGAATTTCTGCACTTGTTTCTCAGACGTCATTTCGCCCGGAAACCAGTGGAGGGGTCGCGGAATGTCGGCTGTTTTCTCGAGGCTAAGCATCTCCCGCCATTCCAGTACATTTTGATTCGACTTGTCCCTTCTTAATCTGGATATCAGATAACCAAGTGATGTACAAAAAATAAGACAGAAGGAAAAGGTTTCTTTCCTCCGTTTCCGAGCGTTCTATTTTGTAAGGCCCTGTTCGAACTTCGAAAGAAAATAGAGTTTTGCGTTCTCTTTAAATTTGACAATTTTCCACCCAACAATGTTTTGATTTTGCATCCTTGCTTGCATCTGGGACACGCGAAATTTTTCGTCTAACGAGAAACGTCAACTAAAGAAACTTAAATTGGTCATGTTCGCGAAGTAAGATGACCCGACAAAGGATAGCTGTCAAGGAACAAAGGAGTTTGTCGCCTAACAAAACATTGTAGGCCTCTAAATCTTCTCGACGGCATCTTTGAACTTTGGTGACAGTTGAGAAAATTTGGGTCGGCGAAAAAATCGTTCGCACTAGAAATGGCTTCCTTTTGACAGATTTTTCTGCAAAACAAACAATTTTTTGCTTTCTTAGTGCGAACAGGGTCTAGTTGTTGTCAAAACAACGTATTTATCATCTGTCGACAGACCAACACGATGTTGAAATCCACCTGCAGTATGCTGGAGAACCAAGTAGAGGAGCTAGAGATTATAAATGAAGATTACGAAGAGAAACAGCTCCAATGGAACATAACAAGGTGATGTCGGGCCTTAAGCGGACTGAATTAGCCTTCTTACATGAGAGATACTTCTGATTCTCAGTCATTTTTAAAATTAACTTTAAAAGTCCGCCAGCCGCCCCTTATATAGCCGGGGGGAATCTGGCTACTCGTGGTAGTGAGTGCACGGCAGTTTTTCATTATTGAGGAGTGGGGGAGGGGTAATTTTTGGTTCATGGTTCTTTACGCGGGCGAATTACCCGGCCCCAACCTCGCTCCCATGTTTTTCCCTTCTCTCGCTCCGTGGGTTGAGTAGGAGAGAACCCTGGGAGTTAAGTTGTACCCTTTCCCTTTTGGAGTATGTAGGTTACCACAATGAATATTCACGGAGTTTGTCATGATGTAAGCCAAATGTTAATGGTTCCAGAAGACGGGGTGGTTGCATTAAACAGGGTAATTGTAAAACAGGGTGCATTTTTGGCTTGCTGCATTGAAACATGCGATATTTTTGCCTTTTTTAGGCGAACGCAAACGAAAAAAGTTCTGCAGGCTAGGTGTACTATGCGAACATGTTTTCCTGAATTGTTTTGCGAATTCGGTCCCAAAGCGGAAACTAACTTTTACAATATAAATGTTTTAGGAAAGAGTTGGAGCAGAAAAGAGAAAAAAGTGACTTTCAACTCCTGGAAACTCAACGCTTGCTTGAACAGGAAAAAATGACACGGTAAGATCGAAATTAGAGGTTTTTTGAAATTATTCAGGCCCATTAACTGCTTTAAAGTAGCTGTCTCAGTAAGAGTTGTCCCTTGTTTAGATCTTTTTCGAGGCTCTTATGTATTTTGTTGGCACTTGCCTTTTCCGTGGCCGATTCACGAGGCCATTCTTAGCCAGCACAATAAAGTTAGAGCGCTGCACCGGTGTCGCAGAGCTCAGGGCCCGAATCCCGGCAAGCCTCAATTTATACAGGCTTTCTTTTCGAAAGTGCATGAGTTGCAAATTTAACTGTTGTTATCTTCTCTGCCCAGTGGAACCCCTACTTACGGCCACCTCGGAAATACAGTCACCTCGTTATTACGGCCACTTATTTTGGCCCAACACAACGGTCATACATTTTCCTATAGAAACCCTCGTTAATGCGGTCACCGGTTAATACGGCCAACGGCCACATTTATAAATCCCAAACAGTAGAATCTTTTGTAATTTCACCACCTTAATACGGCCACTCGTTCAAAATTTAGAAAATTGAAATGCCTGTGATACGTCAATTTCACTGACCAGGCAAGCTGAACATGTTCTTGTATTGCTCTTGGACCACAGTGCACTTAAAATGCATTTGTGGCGGTTTAATGGCCGATTTGTAAAAGTGTTTTATATACTAAAGAAAAGTTTTAGATAGTTTTTGCAATTACTGTACGCGATATCTACATTCCGGTTGTTTATTAAAGAGGACAGTTGTTCAAAAAGTGCGATTGCGACGTATGTTGCATTTGTCATTTCGGCCGGCTTAAGTCATTAAATTTGACCCTGTCGCGATTATACGGTCACTCCGTTAATATGGCCAAATTTTTATAACCCATTGGTGACCGTTTACTATAAAAGGGGTTCCACTTTATTTATTTCATCCCGCAGTCCAATTATGAAGTTCATATATTCATCTTTTTAGGAAGCAATAAGTAGTCATAAAACTTAAGCTTGGTAGTCATAAATCCTTTCCCAGGAAAAGGATAAATTCGAACTATTTTTTTAATTGTAGGTAACACTTTTTTTAACTTTCTTTCCAGGTCCAGCGCTGAGGAGAAAGTGAGTAAACTACAAGAGGCTTTGGAAGAAGTACAAAACACACACATCAAGGAAGTGGATGAGATGAATGCGCAACTGGAAAGACAAAGAGATCGAACCGAGGAGCTCACAGAAGCGGTAAGCACGCTTGTCTCTTTCATCTTTCAAAATCGACTGCAGTTTAGATATAGCTAGTGGATTCACAAAGTCTGTCTCGTTGCAGAGACTGCACGCATTTTTGGTTGCAACGAAGACTACGAACAGTCTCTATTTTTTTCTTATTAGCCCGTTGAGCGAAATGTGCGAGAGAGGCGAATTTGGTCACGCGCGTGATCGAAGAGCGGCCTCTCACCTCTCCACCCTCGAACATGCGTGCACTCCCCTCACTAAATCTGAAGTAAAATAGAGACTGTTGGCAGTCTAGTTCCGACCACTCGTTGCTTCTACTTGTGGTGATGTGCTTGGCCATTTTGAAGTTGTGCTTCAGACTGCGTCATTGTTGAGTCAAATTGCATTATGTGACTCAGTTTCTCTTAATTCCTCGTAACAGCAAATAAAAAGGAGATAATGACCTGTAAAAGTCCCATCGTGCAATTCGAGACAACAACGACGCAATCTGAAGCACACCCCCAAAATGGCCAGTAGAACATTTCCTTATTTGTCCTGCTCGCTCCTTTAAGAATCGAAGCCTTGCATAAGCTACGTTACCTGATTACGAGTGAAAACCTATGCCATTTATTTCCATTTATGGTAGACGGTATGATATTTCATTTCCACCAAAAATTAGGAAGAAGATATAAGGTGCCTTTTAGAATAAAATCTAGAATAATTTTTAATTTATCCTTGACCTCTTCAGCTCAGCGAGGCTGAGAAAAAATGTGGCATGGCACAACTGGAGGTCAAATCCATGGAACGCAAACTTCAACTTGGAACTGAAGAAAACAACAAGCTGCAAATCGAGATCGAGCGACTGAACAATCACACCTCCAAACTGAAGGCTAGCAACTTTGAGTTAAACCAGAATATTGAAGCAGCTATGGAAAAATGTGAAGAATTAACGTGTGAACGGGCTTCGCTGGCAGAGCAGCTGGATCTCATGGAGGCGTCCCACGCAGAAGAGAGGTTGAAACTGGAGGCTACCAATTCACAGCAGACTAAGCTGATTGACTTTCTGCAGTGTAAAGCTGAAGGGCAGGCGCCTAAAAAGAAAAAGGTGTGGACTTTTCTAAATGTACCTAAAGTGGGGGAGGGGGGGGGGTGTGTCCCGTGTCATGGTGAGCTGCTCAGTTTTGGTTAAATCTGAGCTGAAATTACAACCAAGTATTCTCAGACATCTTTTGTCATTCTTGGAATTCTGGAAAAATATATCGACTGATTCTATCAAAAAGAAAATAAAGCGTGATCGGTTTGGGGTCTTTTTTGACAACTTAGCACGTTTACTTGACAAAATAAGCTGTAATTCCTGTCCATCCTGGCCATCGAAAGCCAAGTATAACACTTATAGTTGAGTTACAGCAGAATCTTTAGTAATTTTAAAATGGAACTGAACCATCATTTCAGAGTTTTCTTTTATTTTAATTGAACGAGTTTTTAAGGTTTCAAAGTAATTCCAAAAAAATCAGGACATTTCTTTTTTAAATTTCGGTTGCTTGTCAGTGCGCGACAAAGCAAGAAAAACCGTTTACATAAATACCGTAAATGACGAAATAAACGCCCGGGGCGTCTATTTAATTTTAGGGGCTCAAGCGGAGGGCGTTTGATAGATGGAAGGCGTTTAAAAGAGAGAGGCGTTTATTCTCATAACTGGAACAAGCTCGACAAAACTAATACGCTTTCGGCGAAAATATCAAGAGAGTCTAAAAACAGCGGAATATCCACTACATCAATTGATACGTCTAGGTCGGCTAAAGATCGTTATCGCTCTTTCAAATCCCAGCATCGATGTCAGAATCTTCGCTCAGGGTTGTTGTGTTGCAATCACTAGTCTATCTTACTTTGAACTTGACATTGATTAAGATGAAATGCGAAAAGCCTTGTTAATGATTTTGCTACTTTTTGCTAAAATTCCTAATGTTTTGGAGTAATTCTCATAGGGGGCGTGTATTGGAGAAGGGCGCCTAATACAAGCAGTTAAAATTGAAAGGGTGTGTTTATTCTATCAGAGGCGTTTATTCGTTTGGAAATTACATAGACTGTTTACAGGTAGCCAACACAACATCTGAGGATCATTAGGTTATCCTTATATTAATTCAGTTAAGCTTTTCTGAGTGTTCGTGCTTTCTTGTATAGAGCAGTTGAGGATTTATAAGAGCGAGAGACGTTATTATAAGCTTAAGCACCTCGGAAATCTTTCACAAAAAGCTAGCACCCTACAACGTCTGCAATATTTTGCAGGGCTTGTCCTCACTGTAAGAACGTACGAAACGTGCCACGAACCAACAAGATATCAAACAATACAGTGCAAGACAACGATAGGTAGAAAAGAATTACGTCACAAGTTCATTAGTACATCATTGTAAAACCAAAATTTTGAAAACTTAATACAACCATCCCTCTTCTCTCCTCGCCGCTTGGAATGTTTCGCGGAAAACTCTACTGGCATGGAAAGACTGCTGCATTAGCAGGCCAACTTGTTTTCGCTTTTGTATATCTTTATCAGCCCTGTTTTAAAAGCATGATCAATCGTGAAAGTCATTTGAATAACAACTCAAAGTAACACGATCGTTTGACCAACGTTCACGCGTTTATTTTCAATAGTGGAAATGGGTTTAACGTTCCATCTTTGACATTGTTTCCTCTTCTGTTTTGTTAGCTGATCGGTGGTGGTGGAAAGTCATGGCGCAAGAAACCAGAAAACAGCATCAACGTTGTTCCACAGCAGTGGAGAGATTTACAACAGGCGCTGGAGAAAGAACGAGCATCCAGTATGAAGCTACAAACTGAGGTCAACAGGATGCGACAAGAAATACAGACTGCAAAAATGGAAGGTATTTCAATGTGGATGATCTAGGGAGTGGGGAAAGGCCGACGGCTCTCCAGCTACCACAGCTTTTAGGTGGACTCACAAACATAACCTGAAAAAGCAGCCGATCCTCGAAATGACGTCTGAGAAACGAGCGCAGAAACTCCATACCGATGACGCTTCACTACCCAGATCTTAGTAGTTCTTCTGATTGGTTGTGCCGCGCGGGAAATTTGCTTTAACCAATCAGAAGCACTACCCAGATCTGGGTAGTGACTTGCCATCAATACGGAATTTCTGGGCTCGTTTCTCAGACGTCATTTAGCGGGGAAACCAGTGGTTGCGTCGCTAAATGTCGGCTGTTTTCTCAGGCTATCACAAAAAACCCTTTTTCTTGGTGAAAATTGGAACGGAGACCTGACCTTAGCTGGCAAAAGATATCTTGAAACGAGTTATGGGCCGTTTTGATAGCATAGCTCAAAGGAGATGAATAAATCTTGCTGTTTTCTTTTATTATTTAGCTGCTCATTGGAAATCGCAATATCAAAATGCCGGCTGTGCAACCCCCAAACCAACCCAGTCCTACGCGGTGCTATCAGCAATTCAGCAGTCACCAAGCAACCAACAAAGTCCGCTGATCGCCCAGACCCAGTCCAAGAATGCTAAAAATGCTTCTCAGGCTGATCGTGGTACCGCACGTAGGCCCAAAGAAAGAATGCATCACAACATCCCGCATAGGTAACACTCACCATTTAAATCTAGAGGTTGTTCAACCCCTTCGGTAATGAGTGCTTCCGTTCTGTAAAAAAATGACGTTTATCAAGAATAAACAGTTTAAAAGATCTTTCTTGTTTTAATGGCTTTCGCGTTTGAAAGAAAGAGGAAAACTAATTTTAATATGCAGATGTGGACAATGCTGATTTGGCTCAAATATAAGCCAAGGTATAATTGGCGATTTGCAAAATTCAATTGATGCGAAGAGACGTTTTAGCTTTGTAACAAGACAGCTAAAAGCGTGATATAGTCCAATTAAGCTTCGGTCGATGTTAAGAGTGACTTGTCACTAAGAGTGTAGCTTGCGCCAAGTCGAAACTAAACTTCTGGTTAAGTGTGTTTGCAAAAGAGCGCTGAAATCCTTGTTCAAGGCACCCATCTGTATACCAGGATTTGAGTACGCGTCATGATTGGACTGTTAAAAAAGCCATCGTCAATTTGCCACTCAGGTTGAAAGGAAATTCGAAACTCCTTTCCGGTAATTTGTTGAGTCCACTGGGGCAGGACCCAGAACAAGGATATCCGCGCTGCTCCGCAGACTTTACTAAAGGTGATGTTACACGGGACGATTCGCAACGACGACTTTTAGCGCAACACAGCGTGGTAATGTTGGAACAATGTTATAACCATTCGAAACAATGTTGCAACGCTGTGTTGCAATGAAAATCGTCGTTGCGATTGTCTAGTGTAACATCACCTTAACTGGGGTTAGATTACGTCTGCGACGCAGGCTATAGAGTGGAGCCACTTTTCGTAACGAAAAGTCCGGCGGCTGGAAACAACATAATGCATAAAACTAAGAGGTCAGAAAGAAGACAAACCAAACTTTGTTTCTTCCTTTAGGTTTGTGAACGCTTTGAACATGCGCGCCACCAAGTGTGCCATTTGTTTGGATACTTTGCATTTTGTGCGGCCTTCATCTCGCTGCGCTGGTATGATTATCATTTATGATACTTTATTAAACTAGTATTGTATGCCTTGAGAATGTTAAATGTTATCACGAAGAGACAATTAGAAATAACTTTGACTATGGTAATTTTTCACTTTTTTTGGTAGATTTTATGATACACTAGAATTCATGGGACATTACTGGAATGCTCTTGAATTTTAATGTACAGTGGGAATTTTTTTTTTTTTACTTTGCGATGTGGTATACAGGAAATCTCCAGGAACTCCCAGTATCAAAAAATAATTTCTACCGATTGTTATGTTGTTACATAGATGTTAAAAACTCGAACAGAGAAAATGCTACTGAACACTACACTAACAGAGATCATGGAGGACTCGATCAAGTTATATTATGGACGTTTTAAGATCAAAAGCGTACAAAGCCAGTGCTCTATGAATAATAATTATTGCATTGACTCGAAAACCTATCAATAGTGTACAGTATTTAATCCAATAAGCGCCGTATTTAAGGCGCGAAAATTAATAAGCGGCGCTAATAGGAAAATTGCACGATGACGTCATTTTACTACAACTACTAGAATCCTCGAGTTTGTTGTTTTCTTGAGCAAATTAAGGCCATTGTTCTTTAATCCTCAGCGGGATTGACAAATTTAAATAACAAAGCAAAACCGACATGAATTCTGGTAGTTGTAGTCGAATATCGTCATCCTGCAATTGTTCTATTCGAGTGAATACGGTAACTTTTTTTTTGTTGTCGCAGAGTGTGGCCTAGTATGTCATGTAAAATGTTCACCAAATGTGCCGCATACATGTGGCCTTCCAAGCCAGTTGGTGGAACACTTCACCGAGACTCTTCAGGAACAGAAGAACGACGAAAACAGTCTCATACCTAACTCACAGAGCACCACTAAACTAGGAGGCAGGAGAGAGGGATGGCTCAGAGTTCCACGGTATGGCTCCTCTTGATTGGTTTCTAGTTCAGACTGTCTCGCATTGTAATCAATTTATCACACGGGCTCGGCAGTCAAAGAGATAGGTTCATAATGTTTCCCGTGAATAGGCACCATCAGAAAGGAATAAAGATAGCCTGTCTACTTTCTCCCGACATCAGTCACACCACCCACTCGCCCTAGCCAACCCCGTAAGTCGGGGGCATTCTTGCGGGATAAATTGTAAGGGTTGTCAGGGGCGTAGCCACCAATACGTACGGTACGCACATACGTACCTTTCTTAGAAATATATATTTTTTCAAATACCCAACTGTCGTTTTCCGGAGAACCGATATGATTCATTGGTGGCTCGAAAATCTTGAATGATATATTTAGGGAAAAAAGGGCGAAAAAAGCAAGTTGGATGGAATAAAGCGTGAACGCGTTGTCTTCACCTCAGCCTGTATTAGCAGTAGATGGACGTAGAGAATGATTACGTCATCGTAGGGTGACTCTGTCTGTCAAAACAATGTCCAAAAGGCCTTTAAAAAAATCACTTTTTTTTTTTAAAAGAAAGTCTGAGATAGTAAATGCTTTTGCGTACCTCTGGAAAATCCCGGCTACACCCCTGGATATGATTAAATTCTGGTTATCAGCAAATAACACTAAAAAACGAAACGCGAAATTGCATTTTTAAACATGATATTTGTGTTGTAGCTGCGGTTCAGTAAAGCATGGGTGGGAGAAAAAATGGGTTGTTCTCGACGATCAAGTGCTGCATCTGTACGACAAGGAAAATATGGGAGGTGAGTCAACTTTTCTCTCCTTAACATGGATTACTAGTTGAAAATAACTATCGAGTTGACTTACCTTCTCGTCTTCGTTAACTGTTTAATTTCAGAAAAAGCCTCTCCATCTGAAGTGCTGCATTTGTGCGGTAAAGACGGTCATGTGACTGTTCATTCTGCTGTCATGTCATCTGAGTTGATGGGTACCGCCCCCTCCGATCTGCCGTATATACTGAGGGTAGAGTCACGGCAGAGATGCTGGCCTGTACAGAATCTTTACCTACTAGCCCCTTCATTCCCCGTCAAACAGAAATGGGTCACCTCTCTTGAGTTTGTGCTGGATGAAATTAAGAAGAAAAATGATGAAGGCGATGATCAGGTTTGTAGAGGATATTTAATAGCCACACGGACATAAGAAATTTCTCTTTGACAATTTCGTATCTCCAAACGGCCATGTAATTTTCTATTTATTATACAATCACCTTTATTTGCTGCGAAAGGCAGGATTAATTATGTAACCACAGCAAAGATGATTTTTCCCGTGTGAAGATATCATGTTTTCGCGGGAAAGATAACCTGGTATTTCATTCGTGTTTACATAATAGAAATGGATTTCTACCTTTTACTTTTTTTAAGCTTGACTTTCGGTTCCTCTTGGCGGTCAACTTTTGGGAGCGATCCACACCCCCAAAATAGGGTCTTGAAATAACTGAGTAGAATGTGCTGTCTTTTATTCTTATCTGCAAATAGTTGGACACTCTATGATGAGGACGAAAACCGGTCGGCCCCGTTGCCCAGCACATCCCTGATCTGACTCTTTGACGTAACAATCTCTGGCAATGACCACGCCCAATTCAATGTCACGCAGTGTGCGTGAACGGGTAGGGGAGGAGTCAAATGGGACTTGAGTCCCCTTCTTGCCCATCCCCTCTGCGTAAGTCTTCGCCCAGTGAAGCTGATTAAGATGTTCAGATGCGGTCGATTTTTTCCCCATTTACGTCCGGCTCATTGAACCCGCAGCATGCTATGAAACGGAAAGCCAAATTACGGTTTCTGATCATGACATAAAGCAACTTGTTACTTTCGGGGCCTGTTAGAAACAGCCAGCAGCACAGCAAGCTTTGGTAGAACCAGTCCAAGAGGAAGAATTCTCACAAATACCAGCAAATTTGTCAAAGTCATTGCAGGTGTTGACTGCGATCTTGGAATCCTTGCAACTTTGACAAGGGCATGAATGTTGTTGAGTCTGACAAGCTTCATTTTTGGCTTTAAGGTATCATCCACCCTCAAGCACCCTCCTTGCGTTGATCGGCACTAGCGCATTTTGCATTTTGCATCTAAGTCCATTTTGCATCTGGTTGTAGCAAAGCTCTTTTAGGGCTGAGAGGTAGAAATAGGTAATCTCCCACTAACTTTCACGCCCCGCTGAAAGGGAACGCTATTTACACAGGTTTTTCTGTTTGTTTTTCAACTCGAAATGGCTGCGCGACCTAAGAATAATACCCTCAATATCTACGTGCAAGCCTCTTGCCTTACTTCGCAACGAATAATTAACCTTCCCCTTCTTTTGAAGCGAAGTAAAGAGTCAATTTTTTGTCATGGCATTTCTTTAACTCTGATGGCCGTTGCAATGGCTAATCTACCCTGCTTGTTTCACAGAAACTAATGGGTAATGTGCTGCTACATTTGGAGGAAGGAGAACGCCTCGACATCAATTGCACACAACTGCTGAATAACGAGGTAAGAATGAAGAAGACTCATGAACACGCTAGACAGTAATCTTCTCTAAATACCACAGATAAAACCCATTCTTGTGTTAATTTTAGAGGAAGAAAGGGCCGAGCTTAACCAACCCGTCGGGTAATGTTCAGCTATAATTGTTCACGAGATTTTATGAAGAGGGTCCGTATCATTAGCAGTGTGCCTCTGTCTTACACCGCCCCCCCCACCCCCCTTAGCACCCCCCCCCCCAACCCCCATTGTTACTTCCTTTATATTTTGTATCAGGTAACAACGGTTTGTATTTTCAGTTGGTTCTTTTGGGAGCAGAAGAAGGCCTGTATTCCATGTCTCTTGAAAAACCTGGAAGAAGTTCTCCTCGTGCTCTGCCTGGAATAGACAGAGCTTTTCAACTTGATATCATCAGTGACCTGAATCTCCTCATCATGATAGCAGGTACTATATACTTGTATGCCACCCGTACTTATAAGCCCCCCCCCTCCTCCGCCGCCGCCGGTTAACAAAAAAATACATCCGTTTATAAGCACTTCTCTAGCTTGTATTGAAATGAATTATATATTTTACGACGTTTTGAGACTAAAAAAAAGCGAGTAACTTTAAAAAGTGTTATAAAAAAGCACTGCTATGTAGCTTGTTTTAAAAACGCTTTTTTAGTCCGGATTTACTTAAACACGTTCAACTATGCACTCATCTTTTATGCAGTTGTGAAAATCTCGTAAATTTTCGAAGGATTTCGTCCATTTAACGCAGCCAAAAACGCGGTTTGAAAACGACGGCCCGAATATTTCAAGATTCACCCCAGGGTGCAAAGAAAGTCAGTTTTACTGCTTGCCATTCGGGCAAGCTGTAGTTATAGCGTGTACTAGTCCAAAAAAAATATTTTGAAGAGCAGGATTGATAACAGCCCTTCTTAATTTGAATGCCATTAAAAGCTTCCCTCGCCAGTTGGGAAAGTTAAGAACGGAATTCACTTGCCTGCTAGCAAAATCTGCTAGTCCCGGTTTTAATGGGACACCGTTTTCTTTGCACGCTGATACAGCCTATCTCCTTTTAACCTGTTATTTTTCATTTACTATTTTGGATATTTCCTGAAAGTCCATTCCACCGGGAGGTGGATTCCATTTTTGAAATCAGCCGTACATTTGCTGGACGTACTAATGTTGGTGACGCCACAGTAAAGGGTTTTTAAGCCTAAGTGACGATTACGTTAGCCTACTTTGCAGCCGACCCTACGTCTTCAGGAGTTAATTCGTATACTAAAGACAAAGTACGTAGATGTTGACCAGTGAATGGATTCGATGGTTTTTTTTGTCTTTAAGGTAAAGATCGTCAGTTATGTAGTCTGGAGCTTAAACAGATCATGAGCCGGGCACGTCAGACAAACTCCGCGGTGCCACTGAATCCTCTCGCTTCACAAGCAATCGAAAAAATTACTAACTGCCATTTGTTTGCTGTTGGACAGGTTTGTAGAAAATTTTATACGACCTTTTTATTCACTAGCGCCGTCAATAAAAAAGTTTCTATTTGAAATCGCATTAAAAATGGTTGTTTGTCAGAAACACAAAACTGTTTGTTTTACACTGAGGGCAAGCTCTATGGGTTCTTACAGTAAAGGGTTGTTAAAACTCAAATTTAACAAATAAATTAACGAATGACTGTTTAAAGGTAGCACTTCCACGTATTGGTTGTTCGTCTACCATTCCTGGTCAGATTGGAATTTGGAAGTGTTGGTTTTTAAGGAGAGGGGAAAACCGGTGTACCTGGAGAAAAACCTCTCGGAGCCGCTGAGGGAGAGAACCAACAACAAACTCAACCGTGGCGTCGACGCCAGGATTTGAACCCAGCCACATTGTAACGCGCGTGTTTTCTTTTACAGTGTGAGGGTAATTATTACATTTGTGCAGCCACTCCCAACAGTATTCTGTTATTGCGGTACAACGCAGGCATCGGAACATTTTGTACTCGCAAGGTAAGCGTTCTGTTCGCTCACTTTTGTTCATGTCCCATTTTTTTGCCTCATTAACATATGTTTATCATTATCTGGTGAAGGTGATAAAATAAAACCTCTGAATATTGGAAGAGCATAACAATTTCAGTTATCTCTGAAAAATTGAGCCCGATAAACCGATTTTTTCGAATAAATTCTCTTTTATAAACTCGAAATTTTTCAGAGAATGTATGGCTCGTTTTTTGCCACCCAGCATTTTCGCAGTTTTTTTATGGCTGATATTTCCTTCAATATTGCTTGCAAAGGGGTGAAAATTGCGGCCACGGCTTCTATGAGTTAAACAATGACGTCAGCAGATATTCGCCTATTTTTTCGCAGGAGATTGAGACCAGCGAGCCTTGCAATTGCATTCATTTCAATAACAGTCACGTGATCTACGGTACTGGCAAGTTCTACACCCTTGACATCAAGCAACACACTGTAAAAGGTTGGCTTAATATCTGTTTGTTTTGAAAGTTTTTTTAGCCTTAATTTTGGTGTCGAGGTCGGCCTGTTCTTCGTTCTTTGGTGTATTACTCGCATCGATTCACCAGCTGAACAAAAACTAGTTAATCAGTAAATAGTGTAACTTCTTTTCTCTTTTGCAGAATTCCTGGACTCTAAGGACCCCTCCCTTGCGTTTGCTGTGTTTGGCGCCTCGCAACTAAACATCTTTCCTATTGCTGTGCTGGATGTCACTAGCCGCGGCTCAAACAGTGAAGAATTTCTGCTTTGCTTTAATGGTAAGCCCGTAGGATAAAGCGATGCCTGTACGCATCTGAGGGTAGCCTGCGTCATAAAGGGACAGACCTTTCCTAGTCCCCAGGCCACGTTATTCCTCGCGGCCTATGCTTTTCTGAGACGTTGCAGAGCGACGTCTCCGCTACGTCACCGAAATGCATTGACTGAGAAGGCCTGATAAGTTGCTTTCACAGGAACAATGGCGAAGGTGGGGAATTTTCGAGCAGCATCAATTTTATTCGTTGGCATTTCCCTTATCATTTCATTTAAGTTTTCCGTGCATGTTTATCTAGTAGATTTGTTAAAACGATTCTAACGAAATTTGCAACCATTTGAGTGAAAAAGGACCAAAAGGCAGGTTTTTTGCGTCCGATAAGCTCGACAATCACACCAGATAGAGCGAGGAGAAAGAAAGGAGGAGAAGGGAAAGAAAATAGTGGTTGCCCTCTTAGTTGTTATTTTATAAAAACCGCTTGACGGAAGAGGTGGAAGTTTATTTGGTGGTAACGTTTTGAAAAATCCGCTTTTTCGCTCCCTCCCCGATAACTTTTCCAATTTACCATTTGCACATATCCCGTAATACACCTTGTTTGTCCCCCAAAATTTTGCATAACCTTTGTTTTTTATTCCTCCTGGGTATTACACTCTTCTCAAGACAAATTAAAGACAATAATTACACAAAATTTTAGGGGGCAAACAAGGTGTTTTATGGGAGATATGCAAATGACGAATAGTCCGTTACCTGGCCCCTGCCCTAGGATGGCTGCTTAAGGAAGGTTTGAATGGTTGTCTTAATGATTCACTGAGTTTGGTGGCAGATGAATTTCATGACAGCTTTAATTCTCACCAACTACTCTTCGTTCTCTTGTGCTTTTTTAGAGTTCGGAGTGTTTGTAAACAGCGCTGGACGTCATAGCAGGCAAAAGCCTCTGATGTGGAGCAGACTTCCGCTTGCGTTTGGTGAGTATTTATATGTTCCATCCTGCGCCAGAACGTTTATACTTTTATTCTCTTTTAATAATATATATTTTTTGTTTCTTCCTTTTAGCCTACAGTGAACCCTTCCTCTTTGTCACACATTTTAACTCGATTGACGTCTGTGAAATACCACTCAGCAATGCTGAGAATCCTAGGTAAGAATGACCGTATTTATACTTGAGGCCGTCGTAGACTTTAGGGAGAATACGCCATTTCCGAGTTCCTAAAAACTGTCACTTTTATAAACGAGGCTAAGTGCAAAACCTATCAGCGGATTCGCGCTTAACCTCGCTTTGAAACAGAGGCTTGGGTGAACTCGGAAATGGCCTATTGAACATCTGGCCGGCTTAAAGTCTCTTCATGTCGATCAAGCGCACTTCAGGCCCCAGTTGTTCAAAAGGTGGATAACACCGCAATTGGTCCCCTAAATGCTCGCACTACATTATTACTGACACTACATAATACTCCCTGGATACTGATTTATCCGGTGGATCGCGCTATCCATCCTTTCAACAAACGGGGTTAAATGTTTGATTTAGCGTCACGATGCCGTCTGTTAATCCCTGTCCTTACTTGCGATGAGCATCAGGTGGATTTCACATGCTATCTGTTAGTTATCTGTGTATGCTTATGTTGTGGCTGGTTTCAAGTTTGTCGTTTTATATTCATTTTTTGCAGTCGTTATGCACACAAATTTCTGGAAATTCGGAATCCACGTGTTCTTGGTCCAGCAGTATCTCCAGGGGCAGTTTACCTCGCTTCCACGTTACAGGAGCAAGTAGAAATGCTTTGTTTCCAGGGAACGTCTGCTCTTGCGAGCGTCTTCCAATTCCAACCCGAGGATGACGACGACAACATGTCGATCATCTCCGAGCTATCCCGATTGTCAAGCCCGAGTCGCCGATCATCTCCGGCTTTGGCTCGTTCACCTTCTTGGAGTCCTGGAACTGCCAAAGTGAAGTCGCTCAGAGAAGGAAGCCTGAAAAAGAGCAGTTCTTTTCGAACTGTAATGCCGCTGAGAGAAGAAAATATGTAAATGATCATGATCAATTGCAAAACAAATAGAGTGACTTTTGAATTAGCTGGGAAAGAACGGTCGCTTTAGGAAAACCTTGCGCGTTTTCTGCTAAAAATGTCAAAGACATGGATGTCCTTGTCCTACTCGTCTAAGCCTGTTTCATCCTCCAATAGTAATGTGCAGAGATCGTGAACAATGATGCAAAAACGCGCAAGAAGGGAGAAGGGAAATGAAAAGCGCACCAATGCGCGCTTGCTTTTTCTTTCTTTCTTTCCTTTTTTTTGATTACTGCTATTTTTTATAAATACCCAGCGGGAGCCTCTGCGAAGGAGAGGGTGACGTCCCTACTATCTTCGCTTGCGTCACAGACGCTTTAAACATTCTGTATAGAGGACTATACAAATGGTTTAGACGAGTGCGTGGGCCGGCTGCAACGCAGGCGATACTATCTTAGAGCCTGGCGCAGGGTATACTTGTCTGGTTTGAACCTACCTTTAATCGACCAAGTACAATAACAAGCTATATGTCGTAACAAAATCATTGCAGTTTTTGCATTCCCCACTTAAGAAACCAAAAGGAAACTGGAGCCGGAATGTCTCCCGCAATTGTTTCTGGGATCGTTACTGGTGACGTGCTGGTCAGCTATTGGCCAGTTGTTTTCTTTGTCCCTAGTTACAGTCCCAGAAGTCCCTGTGAAAGTTAACTCGCCCCAGTTTCTTTCTCCCGTTTCTATAGTGGTGAGTTATCAAAGGACACCTAGTGGTGCAAGTTTACTGCTACCCTCACTCACATATGATTGATGAATAATCTTGAAAGGTCACTTTAGTATACTCCCAGGTGGTAAAATATTGTAAAAACCCTCGAGTAAGAACCTGAATTTTGCTAAATTAGCCTAAACTGGTTTTTAATATAAATGGTATTTCTCGCAAATTTAAGCTATATAGTTTCATAATAGGTTCTTGTTTTCAGAAGCAAAAATATATATATGTTGGCTTAGAGTTCTTAGTGGTGTTCAGCTTATTCCCTATATAAAATCTGCATACCATTATAGTTTACTTGGAATGATAAGGAACCTGGGTCTCCAAAGTGGATTCTGAATTTTGACTTATCTTATTTACTTAAGTAAACAGAAGTTTTGTTAAAAAAAGACTTTAGAGAATAAGGAGCTGTTACAAAATTTAGGCTAAACAGATTCTTGTATAAAGGGGGCCCAACTAACAACTTTGATCCTTGCAGGTTCTTAAAAACCAGGTTCTTACTCGCGGGTTTATACTGTGGGTGATAAAAGTAGACATGTAAATAGCAAGACTGCAGAAGTTCAAATGGAAATTCGAATAGCTAGACATAGTTAAATAGAAAAAAATACATATTTTTGTCAGTATGCATAGCTAAAATCCCTTTGACTTTAGGTGATGTTATACGGGACGATTCGCAACGACGGCTTTGAGCAAAACACAGCGTTGCAATGTTGCAAGCACTCAAAACAGTGTCGCAACATTGCATCGCCGTGTTGTGCTAAAAATCGTCGTTGGACTTGCGAATCGTCTTGTGTAACATCACCATTAAGTACAACATTCACCTTATACCGTAGTTAGCAATTAAGTGAGATTGAAAAAGGTGGCGTCCTAGATTAATTGCCTCACCCAAATGAAAAGCAGTTGAAATGTCCATTTCATCAATAAAATGGAAAACTTAATTTAAAAAAATTACTAGACTAGAAATGAAAGCGATGCAGGACAAATTTTCGGAGCTATTCAGTAGTGAGTTCGCCTTCCAAGCGACTGTTCCTGTTCGCAATTGCAGTCAGCAAGATACGAGAAGTCTCTTTTAATTATTTTAGTGTGTTAGTGATTTTAACACCGAATTTAGTATTATTAAATGTCAATCGAACATGTTTGTCAGCTCTTGTGTTCTTACTCTCTCCCGTGTGACTTAAACCAAGTTGATCATACCCTTCGTCGCTCGCGCTTGATCCAACGACGCGACCGCAACGAGAACGTCAAAAAAAAAAACATTAATAAGCGACGTCTAAGTGGGATGCACGTGCATCACACTTTTTTCAGTTTTTTGTACATTTCTTTACCGTTTTTGCACGACTACAACGCGAAAATGCCTAATTTCACGTTTTATGGAGAATGTAAACAAGCTACGACGAAATTTTATTTCTCTTTCTGAACTTGGATATAGTCCCTTGGAATTCAACTCCAGGAGGATGGCCAATTTTTGACAAAGTAAGTGGGTAGGAATAATCGCTATTAAGACTGAGGGAACGCAAATTCACTTTTTAAGCGACGTTGTCGTCGAGTCGTTGGATCTTACCTCAGGTGCAGAGACTGGTCTGCTGAGCGGGAGGTCGCAGGTTCAAACCCGGGCCGGACCAACACTCGAGGAACTGAGAAGAAAGTGCTGCCCTAGTAACGACATCTGCAAACGGTTAGACTTTCTAGTCTTCTCGGATAACGACGAAAAGCCGTTGGTCCCGTCTCACAGCACTTTGTCTTTCACCATCTTGTTCTTGCATTGAGGGACGTAAAAGAACCCACACCACTGTTCGAAAAGAGTAGGGGACGTAGACCCCGGTGGTGTGGCCATGCCTCTCTTGGCCTATTGGGATATAAATCTCATTATCCTCCTTCAGGTGCCGTAATGGCTGAACAGTGTAATTCTATGTAAATACGTATTTATAATTTCGGAGTTTACACACGGCACTGAAAATATAGCCAATGGAAAGTTTTGACGTAGTTTCAAACCGGATTCACAGCGATTTTCCCAACCCGTTTACCTTGTTAGGTCTGAGCGAATTTCCTGGAGTTAAAGCATTAGAAACCGCATTCAAGATAAACAAAAGAAAGAAAACCTCGTCGTCGTTCTTTAGCGTCCTCCAGAAAACGCGAGAGGGGGCAATTTCACGTCGTAGTGGTGCAGTGTCGGCAAAGAAATGTACCAAAGAGTGCGTGCAGAGTTGTTTTTCGCCTAAATATTGTTTATTTATAACAATAGAGTGATTTAGAATCACGTTTCCGGCAATTTGTACCACGTGATCAAGTTTTCGCATTTCCTTTCGTTTACATTTTCTTATATCTACACATAAATAATTACTGTTTTATGTCAATTTTATCCATGAGACTTAGACCCTGTTTACATGGAGTGGGGGACCCCGGTCTAGTGGTGTAGGTTTCTTTTGTTTTGTGTCCCCCAGAGCGTGAAAACAAAAGAAACCAACCCCACTAGACCGGGGTGCCCCCACTCCATGTAAACAGGCCCTTAGATCATGTTTACTTCACACTAATACCCAATACCTTTTACGAAGGCACAAGAAACATACCGGATAGGGCTTCTGTTAAAGGAGCTGTGTCACGGCTACTGCGCATGCTTGCGTTTGACAGATGCAAATGATGTAAACAAGGCCATGTTTATGTGAGCCCATGTTAAAAGCCGACTCGCGCTGCGAAACCTTCATCGAGATTCTTTATTTTCGTTAGAACCTTTCGCAGAAATGAGCCTTTCTTCGGAACAAAGTAGCTCTTTTGCGGTATGTATCCGTCGATTAATTTAGCCACAACTTTCTTGCCGCTTTTCTAGTCAGCGACTCGCGCTCTACTCTTCCTGGACTTGTGAATACCGCAGTTTATTTCACTCGATTGCGCGAATTCTAGTCAACATTATTTCCTTCCCGTTTGCGCAGGATAACGTCCCTAACTCTTGCCAGTGTACAAGCACTTGCTCTACGAAAGCAGGAAGAAAAAGGACTGGATGTCCTTGCAAAACAGCCGGTCGCTACTGCGGAGAGGCCTGTTCGTGCAGTCGACGAAAGCCGCTGATTTCGGCGCGATTTCTGTAAAGGGTGATTTCCACTGACGCGTTTTTGGCTACGCAGGTTAACGCACGTAAATTTTAATCACGTAAATAAGATCCAAATAAAATAGAGGCAAGATAAAAAGTAACATGCGATCAGGCGTTTTTTTTTTTTTTTTTTTTCGGGGGAAAAAAAAAAAAAAGCCTTTTTCCCTTTTTCTCCAAAAAAAAAGGGGAAGAGAGCCGTGACCCCTGGAAGCAAAGAAAAAAAAAAAGGCTGGCGCTAAACGGGAAGTTGGGGGGGGGTCAAAATGTACCGTTCCGGGCGGACTTTCATCCATTGCCCCTTTTTTTTTTTCGAAAGGAATTTTTCAAAACGTTCGCCCCGAGCTAACGACACGGGATAAAGGTAAAAGAGGATGTTAGCGAGGCTGTTGGGGAGACGGCGGGGAGGGGGACGTGGACTTTGATCGCAGAAAAAGGAAACAAGTATGTTAGGGGTAAAATAAAAATTAAAATGTTTTCTTGGTTTTTTTTTTTTTTTTTTTTCCGGGAAAAAGAGAAAAAAAGTCCTTTTCCTCTTGTCTCCCAAACAAAAAGGGAAGAAGGACCGTGACAGCTGATAGCAAGTCAAATAAAAAGTGCTGAGCTTAAACGAGAAGTTGAGCGAGGTTCAACATGTACGCTTACGAGCGACCTTTCATCCATTGCCTCTATTCTATTTGCGAAAGTAATTTTTACACACGTGCGCACGTAGATAACGCGACACTGGAAATCAACCCTAAAGGAGCGAAACTGCGCCTCGCCGACCTCTAAAGTTGTCGCCCCAGGATAGGTGTTCATACTATACAGGATAGCTCTTTGTGTTGGCACGAAAAGCTATCCTCCGGTTAAATGTGTAACGTTGCTCAGTATTTTTATTTATTTATTTATTTTTATTATTATTTTTTTTTTTTTGCTGTTTATTTTCTTATTTGATAAATTTTGATACAACTTGAATCTGACGTTTACCGTTTGTCGTAAAGGTAATTTTAAGTCCCCGTCAACACGTATACGGATAGTTTTGAAACGGAGATTTTTCCCTCCGTTTGCGAAAAAATACACGTCCACAGGTAGCGCCTTCGAATCGCTTTCACCCATCCACACGAAAACGATGGAAATACGATTAAAATACGATAGCATCCCTCACAGGGCATGCGTAATGCTGGTAGTAAATGATGCATGACATCGTGTTTCGTCCATCCTCGCGTAAACGACAAGCCGGCCGTGTTTTTAAAAATCTCCACTCTGCAGTGTGTTTTTGAAAAGACGCGTTTTCGGCGACCGTTCACTGGATACGAGTGGACGGTGTGCCAGACCAGAGGAAAAATATGAGGTCGACGTTCAACGTTTCACAGGTCTTAGCCAAATAGGAAGCTCTTGTCAAATTACCACCGACGATGAGTTGTATGTTCTTAACTTAGCTGTCACTCCAGCCTATGTATCTTGGATTCTTTAAGTTTATAAACACCATTTCCGCCCCATAACACTCTACGGGCTGTGGAGCACGTGACCAAACAGTTAATGAGTCCATGTGACCGGGCCAGTTTGGGAGCTGAACACGTGACACACAACGAAAAGTCTCGCCAAGTCGAAGCTGAAAATCACGTGAGGTGGTTTGGCCCCAGGAATTGGTTGAAAGCGTCTCACCAAATAGTTCACCAATATGAATGACAGTGTTTCCTTTGTAATGCCTCAGGCAGTCCAGAGAGAATGAGCAGCCCTCTGACAAGAAAGCAAACGATATAAAAAAATGAAAACGCTTTCTTTTGGTTGACCATTTAAAGCAAACAAACTGCATCTATCCTGTTCTTCTTGAATATGGGACAGCATGCAGTTACCTATACTGGGTTCTATGATTGCTTACGTAAAGTAACAGCGGTTAAAAATTGCTTGTCATTGCAACAGTGCTACCCAGTAATGTGTATGGCACTGTTTCTACAACTGTGATCATGGTAGCAGGGATGGGGGAGATCAGGGAGGACATGTATGTGTTTCAGGGAGGACATGTATGTGTTGACTGGCTGTTTAACCCTTCACTTGAACAGGTTTGAGATCACCTTCCCCGGCTCCCATATCACACACTTTGCACTTGCGCCCCAAGACCCTACTGAGTACTGCCACCAATGGTCACCAATACTAGATTTACAAGTCACCTTCATGGTCAGGCCAGCTCAGAAGCAATGCTCTCTCACTATGATTACACAAAATGGTTGGATTGCTTTCCTGAGTAAACAAAAGGAATGGAAAAATGCATAAATTACAGTAATGAAAATGCATTGCTGCATTACTTCTGCACTTCTGGATAAGCTAGTTACTTATCAACACAAGTGTTTACGGAACCAAGACAACTTTCTCACCAGTTCTCAGCAAAGTATGCAAAATACATCAGCTCTATGATAAGTATTAAGTACTGGGGAATAATTTGTTGATAACAAAAATATAAAAAGATTAATTGGTAAATTAGAAAAAGAGATATGAGGTTACATAGTCAAATCTTAACCAGTTTGAAACACTAGCACCCAGAAAGCATTTTGTCTTGTCAGGCCTTGTCATTGACTCTTTTTATGTTCACTGTAAGTAGTTTTGTTGCTAGGCTTTTTACACCTCACATCAATCATTGCACATGTCAATACAGAGTCTGGCTGAATTTAATGCTGATCTGATATGTGCAGGTACAGAAACTCATAAGGGGTTGAAACGTGTAACTCTCATATGTTTGCTTTGTCCTATGCTCGTGATTATTCATTTTCGAAAGTACCATATTTGGAACGAGAAGAAGAGATAACAGACCAATCAAATTTTGTGAACAACGTGACGTAATTTTCCTTCAGGTTCCCGCGCCCGCTTAAAAAAATGGCCGACAAATGGGGGAAAAACTTCCGAAAGCCGAGAAAGCTTTCAAAGGTTGAAACCAGGAATATAACCGAAACACTGAGCAGGATATTATTGCCTTACCACATCCGGGCCAAACGTAACATTATGAAACCCATTGATGGCCTCGCAACTTCTTGAAGTTCTCACTTCAAAAAACAATGCCTCGTTGACCCTCTGCACAGTAAACTTATACTGCAAATAGGCTTTTAAAATTCTTATGTTAAAAGTCTAGAATAAACAGTGAAAAATATTTTCGAATAAAATTCATTAGCTGCATATCGAAAAGTGTCCAAAACCTGAACCTGACATCTTCGCAAAAAGTGATGCTTGTAATGAATGTGAGAAGGATTTTAAAAGAGCTTAAATTAAACTTAGATGTTGTAGTCACGATTGTGTTTTGAGCTAATTTTATGAATGAACAAACTCAAAACAATAGACAGAGAAGCCATTTCTTGAAAATTTTTATTCAAAGTCCAAAAAGTTAATCCTCTAAAGCAATTCGGAAAACACTATCTGGATCGTTGATCCGTTCACGCAAGTGAAATCGGCTAAGCACATGGCAAAATTCAACACAAAATCCATCTCAAATCAGGGCACATTTTGTAATTTTTCTTTAGCGCCGAAGAGAAAAATTTATAAAACGTCTATGAAACATTTAAAAATACATAAATTCCCTTTCAAAAACGTAGTTGTCTTGGCCATAGAGTGCAAAATGTACCTGAAAATTCAGCAAAAACTTTGCTGACTTGGCTGCATTTCAAAACAGACCATGGGCTCCGCCGTGAAGAAAACAAGGTTGAATTCCTCGAAGGACCATTTCTCGATGAAAAGCTTCCCTTTCTCCACAAAAAGAAAGCTGAGCAGTCTTTTGAACTTTCTCTTTCCATTTTTTGTCTTTTAACGGTGTATTTTTAACCTTGAAATGCAAAACTCTTGTCTTTAAAGACCTGCATGGTGATCGCGCGGCAGTCATTTTGTTGAAAATGGATATCCGTCACTAAGGTTTCCAAATATGGTCAAAATGAATATTCACGAGCATTGAACGCGAGTTATACGTTTCAACCCCTTATGGGCTTCTGGCAGGTACTGACAGTATTTAACAGCCCCAAAACAAGAGAATGGTGATGCAATATACCCCGTAATTTTCTGTTTTAGTTTTTTCAACTTTTCATCTATCTTAGACTTACGAAAATACGGATTTATCGAGTTACCATGATCTCCATGTATCTCATTTCTGGTGGATAAATAGTGTTCTGATCAAATGCTAGAATATCAGCTCCTCTTTCTTGAAGAAGAAACTCCCAGTAACCATTCCCCTACAAAAGATAGGCACTATAAAGTAAATTAGCTGGAAAGAGCAGGCCTAAGACAACATATTCATGCATGGTAAAAAAAAGTCTCCCTGCTACACACCTAGCCTGCACTGCAGATGTAATTTAACCATGGTTAGTAACATCTGTTAAGCAGTGCCGAGGTCCCTGTTCTGGGCCCCCAACTGACTCAGCGAATTACGGGAAGTGCGTTTCGAAATTCCTTTCATCCTGATTGGCAAATCGATCGTGTCATTTTAACAGGCCAATCATAGCGCGTACTCAAATCCTGGTACACAGGTGGAGGTCCCGAACAAGGATTTCGGTGCTGTTTCACAGGAGAATTAACCAGAGTTTAGTTTCATCTGTGGTGCAGACTACTGCACAGCCAAATTGGGGTCCTCTTTATGTTTAGAATTTTATGAGACTTCAAAACCCTAGACTTTCAAATTTTTGAGAGTCCAAAACTGTCTAAATCTTAGCAAGCCAATAATTTAAATTTGATTATTTTGGATATCACAAAAACCAAATCTAGTAATTGTCATATTATACATTGTTTTGAAGAAAATAGGAACAAACAGAGCATCACATGGAAGACAGATTGACATTACTCTTTTAAATCATGCATTGCACGCACAACCTACAGCATGGTCACTTAACTGCTGGAAGATAACTAACTAATCTGTAGGTTGCGCTGATTTCCAAACTTACCTGTAAACTCTTAGCCAATAAGGAGAAAGATAGTAAGTACAATGTACATGCAGTGAAAAATAAAAAATGATAGTAACCCTTTTTTGTAATACTCACTGCACCTGCAGAGATAATGGGAGTGCTTAAGTTCAAAATATGTTCAAGTGCATGAAGACAAGGAACAGAAAAGGAAAATAGAATCTGCAGTCTTTGGCAAGAACTCCTGTCATCCAAATTTCTTATCCAAGATGTCAAACTTTGCCTTTCTTGATCACTCAGTGAACTGTCACAAAAACGGTGAATTGTGCCTGGTGCATGTTTCATTTTCCACTTAAATATTTCATAGTACAATATTTCCCCATTGCTTTTCCGCTGTTGTAAAGTGTTGTAAAGCAATCTTTCAGGTAGGAAGACATTTTTCCATGACCTCGACCAGAAGACCCTGGGGACTGGGTCGGCTTCACTGAGACATCGGTGCTAACGGACAGCGTTCATAGCATTGTGATGGTAACTAAGTCACATGATCAATCAACTCAGGGCAGCCATTTTGTTTCAAGCAAGAGATTGAGAGTTTACTTATACTGCGAAATTCGATTAGTATTTGGCGAAGGTTGCTTTCAACTCGTTCCAAACTGCCTCTCACCTCTCTATTTAAGTTAAAGCTTAGCTTGAACGGAGAGTTTTCTATTTCCAGCGATGAGTAGGAGTTGCCAAGTTTATATGGGGCGACTGCCGTACGGCACGAAGGAACGCGACATCGAAAAATTCTTCCGCAACTATGGAAGATTGCGAGAAATCAACTTGAAGAATGGTTATGGGTTTGTGGTGAGTCTTTCTCAGCTACACTATTTCGCTTTTTAGTCATTACTAAAATTTAAAGGTTTGTGCGTGGCCGGTGTTGACCGTAATTTGGTCAGCACATGCATACTTTTTATCGTAGCTTTACACAATGTTAATTTAAGCCCAAGTTATGCATGGACGGAGTTTGTAATCAAAATTGGACAACTCACCCCTTGGACAATCCCTGGACTACCAGCCCCCAATCTTTAGCAATTTAGCCCCCAAACATATATTTCCGACCATACAAAGAAAAAACTTGGCCATTTTGCTCTAGTGCGCCTACTCCTGCAGAAGGCTTCTTCCAATTTATTTCTTGTGAAACTGATAAACTGAAGAGTTGCAATATATCGTTGTCTGTTTAATCAAGGTCATAGCTTTCTTTACTACCTGCTAAGTGTTCCAGCTCCTAGAGTGAAGCAGACTTAAGCAATGTTAAGTCAAAATGAATGCTTTAAAGTGTAATGGTACAGAATGAGAAGAGCAGTTTCATTGCAGGTACTTGAAATTTTGGATTTGGTTTTTACATGACAGTTGGACTACATATAGTTAATTCGTAACACGACTGTTGAGGGTACTTAAAGTTTTAATCCTGCATGTTCTCTATCATGGAATAAACTTTCTGAGAATCATCGAAAAAAAGTTTGTCTAAAGTAGCATAGAGTGTATGTGTTTTAGTATTGGGGGCTAATAATCCATGGCTGTTTCTGGGGTGCATTTTGTCTGGCATTCCTGGTGTTAAGTTAGTATTAATTCATTAATCTTTCATGATCAAGGAATTTGAAGATTCAAGGGATGCAGAAGATGCAGTTTATGAGTGCAATGGAAAAGAAATGATGGGAGAAAGGTAAGACATAAGTGCTTTATCATGGTTCAGCCATGAAACACTTGCAGTGAAAGAATGTCTTCCAATGCAAGATGTTAATCTATAAATGTATATTGTGTTCCTTTATTTCAGAATTATAGTTGAGCCGTCACGTGGGACAGCTAGAGGTGCTGGTGCCAGTGGTGGCCGCAAGTCCAGGGCCAGAGATAAGTGAGTGCACAATTTTTCTTTATAGTTACAAAATTATTTTGCCTGTTACATTTTGTATTTTCAAGTAGGTGATGTTGCAGTCTCACTGGAACTGATCCTCTATAAGTGCCTTGTATCTAGTGGCTCAATCAAATCCAATGTGAATCAAAATGATTCAACTTTAGCCTTCTGGAGACTAAGGCTTAAAAGAAGAGTGTAATTCTTCCTTCTGTAATTATACATTCTGTGGGATGCTAAAAAAACCCACACACTGTTCTTGAAGAGTAAGGGACGTAGTCCCCAGTGGTGGAGGGACTGTTACGGGCCTGCAGTGGTTGGCGTCATGCGCTGTTGCGGTGACCCTGCAAAAGTTGGCAAACCTTAGTAAATAAGAGCCAAGTGAGAAGTTATTTAACCATATCGAAACTGGTCTATATTGAACATTGTTTTTGCTTAAATCTGTTTTCTTACTAGGTATGGTCCCCCAGTAAGAACGCCGTGGAGAATTACTGTTGAAAACTTATCAACCCGTGTTAGTTGGCAGGTTAGTGAGGAATAAGTAACTTGTTCCTCCAATTGAGGAAAAAGCCACATCCCCTTTTTATGAGCTGTTTTTAAAATAATAGTTTACTGTTATAGTAATAATAATTTACTTAAAATACTGTGAGCCATTGTAAAGGCGTTAACTTGATGAGCAAGGTCACTTCTTAAAGAGACTTGCCATAGCAGCTGCCTTACAGACTATAAACGTGGTATTCACTACCTTGCCTACCAATATTTTTAGTTACAAGATGCACCATGAAGGGTGACATGAAGGTAGTCACAGAGGCATAGATGATTACACGTACACCCCTTTGATACAATGATGGTTTTGATGCTCAGATGTCATCAGAAGTCAATACACACAGTCATGACAAGATGCAAATTTCACAAAGGCATGATGCAAAAAAACTTCATGGCCGATGATGACAGACGTACACGTACCTTCTGATTTCAAAATGACTCAGACGATGGACCTCTGTAAAATTGATGCTGTAGTACTTTGCTTTTCTCGTCATGATTGACTGCCCTGAACGTTTTGTGATTACTGGCGAGACAGAATTGAATTTTTCTTTTTGGCCGACTGTGTTGTACAACAGAAAGAGTGCAGATGCAAAGGTGTTACTGATTAAGAAAGCTTGGTAGTTACCCAAATCCAAATGTGGAGGAGAAAATTCCCAATTTCATTTTGCAAACTACTAAAAAGCTTGCCAAGAAAAAGGTCACATTAGGATTTATCTACAGAGTCAAAAATTAAAATACACTCCATAAATATATCCACATGTATAGTCGTGTGTGGAAGTAAAATAGCTATGGTAGAATAATGAAAACAGATTAGGTTTCCTTCCTTTTTGACAGTGTTAACCATAACAAGGAGGTTAAAGGTTCAGTACAAGTTTAAAATTCTTGGTGGTATTACTTGACAGTCTAGACTAAAGTAATATGGCAGGCTGATAGTATTTTGCAAAATTTAAATTCAAAGATCGTAGTGCAGGAGCATGGTGCTATAGGGGTGTTTTTTCTCAAGTGTGACTGTTATTACTAGGATCTCAAAGACTATGTACGCCAAGCAGGCGAGGTGACATATGGAGATGCACACAAGCAAAGGAAAGGCGAAGGGTAAGTGAAACTTCTGGAATACTGGCATACTATCTACATAATATAGGAAATTGACTTAATGTGAATAGGGTTTTACTGCCAAAGCATCACAGATGTACAGTTGAAAAAAAGGAATTGCGGTTGCTCATTGCAGGTGTATATGTCTTTTTATAGAAATAATGGGAAGGAGGAGGATGTTTAATGTCAATAGTGTTGTTGTTAACTATAAGATTGTCGTGTCATCTTTGTTTTTGATTTAACAGATAGATTCCATGTTGCCGAGCGTCTGTTCAGTAAAAGATCACAGATGACGTCAAAGTGTGGTAAAAACAAAGAAGTGGCACATGGGCAACAGTCGTGTGTGTCACTGATGTTTTCACCACATTTTGATGTCTTATCTGATCTATTACTGAACAGACCCACAGCAGTATGGAATCTATTTTGTTTTATACAATGACGCAGAAAAGAGAAAAGACCGATACACATACCTGCCTTGTACTTCTTGTCTGTTCGAGGATTTGTGCTAGTTTGGCATTCTCCCTACTTGTCATCTCTTCTTCTTTTTTTTTTGTTGTCTTATACTTGTATTCAGTTTATTTGAAGAGTTTTTCATAATCTTTTCTTGCGCGAAGCCGAATGATGGCAAAATCATTTTGCAAAATATTGAGTCTCTCGAAGGGATGACACACAGTGGCAACTGACGTAGAGATTTCTTGCACTTTAGACATTCTCAAGTTGTCAAGAACTCTTTTTGCCTTTATTTCACCTTTTTTTTTTCTTTGTAAATAGCTCCTACTAAACGCTTTTTCGAGGCTTTCACCAGCCTGCGGGGAGCAGACGCTAGATGAAACAAGAACCGAAGAAAGCATTCAGCGTTCAGCGCGTGTAGCATTCAGACCATTGTATAAAGCTGTATAATATTTTATGCTTACGATGGTCTTGGTAACCCAATAGGTTCATTTGTGTATAGCAGTATGTATAGATCAAAATGTATCCCTTAAATACTTACAGCCCCTCAGTCAAGGTGTTCGCAAGTTCAAGAAATGATTATAACCGCTCATTGCTTTTAGAACCCTAGAGTTTGCAACCAAAAGAGACTTGAAGAGGGTGATGAAAAAACTTGATGGGACTGAGTTAAATGGAAAGCGTATCAAGCTTGTTGATGTAAGTGAAGTCATATTTTATGTACCATTAACTTCCCAAGATGTACCCTTAATCTGAACAAGTGTGCATTAAATGAACTTCTTGTTAGCCTGAGAAAACAGCCGAAATTTCGCGACGTTACCACTGATTTCCTCGCAAATTAATGACGTCTGAGAAACGAGCGCAGAAATTGCATACTGATGACGCTTCACTACCCAGATCTGTTTAGAGCTACTGATTGGTCCTGCCGCGTGGGAAATTTGCTTCAGCCAATCAAAAACCCTACCCAGATCTGGGTAGTGACACGTGAGTATGGAATTTCTTCGCTTGTTTTTTAGACGTCATTTCGCTGAGAAACCAGTGGTAACGTCACAAAATGTCGGCTGTTTTCTCAGGCTAACTTCTTGTCCACATTTTCCATCTCTTCCTTGTCAGGTTATCTGTGTGGCTCAAATTTTTTATTATCATTTTTGCAGGAAAGTCCACGTTCTCGATCTCGTTCTCGTTCTCGATCAAGAAGCCGCTCCAGATCCAAAAGACGGTCTCGATCCAAGTCGCGTTCTGCTTCACAATCACGCCACAACCGTTCTAAATCGCGATCACGTTCTAGATCACGATCCCGATCGCCACGACGCAAATCGCATTCCAAGTCGCGCTCAAGGTCCAGGTCGCGATCCCGTTCACGATCTCCGCGCAAATCCAAGTCCCGATCACGTTCACGTTCACGCTCTCGATCTCGATCACCCAGAAATGATAAAGAAGCATCTGCGGAACCGGAAGCTGATGATAATCAGAATTATAATTCAGCAGAAGGAGATCGGGCCGGTGAAGCTGATGATGCTGAGTGATAAGCTGTCATTTTCTTGATGTGTCTCTCTAAGAGACTTGTCATGGCTTTTATTTTTCTTTTTACTCTCTACATTAGTATAGAAGCTGTCGTATTCAAATCGACGGCGTCAGAAGGACTGGTTAGACTATTTATATCACCACATTTTGAACTGTGTTGATGCAGATATGACATTTCATTTTAAATAGAAGTTGAACTGTACAGATGCGGAAAGCTCTATAATGAGCGAGGAACGTTTTGTAATTCACCATAGGTAACTAACAATAAGCCTTGCAATTAAATAACCTTTTGCACGTTAAGTGGAACTTTTGTCTGGAAGTGAACTGGTTTAGTAGTAGGCAGTAATTTCAGCTTGACACACAAGAGAATTTTATCTGGTATTGCAATTGGTAGTTAAAAACTAACTATCGCTGCAACACTCACCCGCCCCACTGCAAGCGGCTTTGTCCGTACCTTTAATTTAAGAGTTGCTTAATGGCACAGCTGAATTCTATAGTTTGGCGATGGTGTCATATTGAATAAAATAGCGTGAAATTGATGTTGTAGAAAGTTTTACAACTCCATTGTAAAACGCAGTTCATGGAGCTTAACGCCCTCAGTCAGCAACATGCAACGCAGTGTTATGCTTAGCCCTTATCAAATCTCGTAGAGTTTTACTCGTAGTGGGTAAAAGTACTGGGTAGTGCGTAAAATCACTTCCATAGCTGGGAAATTACTGATAAAATAGCAATCCTTGTTTTGTTGCAGTTGGAGCTAGTTCCTAATGTATCGCTTGTTTTGTATGGCTAGTAAAAATAATTTTCCTCCTGCATATCTCGTGGAGCACTTTAGGTGCACGTTCTGTTCAGTAGTAAAATATTTTTTCATTGGCATACCCTGGGATAGCAATCGGACTATAAAAGGCGTTGTAAAAGTCCTATTTCTCATTCCGAGTTGTATTGCTTTGGAGTACTTCAACCGTCCTAAAGTTTTGTAATTCCCAGCCTTCCCTCCCTTTGGAGGCTTTGTTATGGTTCCTAATAAACACGGGCTCACCGCTTTCTTTCACCTTCGGTTTAAGTCTTACGGCGACTTCCCCAAGCTTTCATTTTTTAAACCATTCTCGTTCCCAGAGCTTCGATCCTTTTGGTCAGCGGCAGGGATCGAGAGCTCTGGTTGGTTCCTACCAGGGGGGGGTGGTGAACTTGGTAGTTTGTTTGTCCGGACGATCTTGGCCATCGTGACGTCACGAAGAGAGAAGCGCGCAACTTCGAGGAGTTTTCGAAAATGGCGCCGTTGCCATTTCCAAATGCTA